ATCTGAAGCATAATTTCTTCTCCTTTGTATTCCAGGCCCCTTGCGATAAAGGCCAACATTCCATTTGCTTTTTTGATCACTTTTTGTCCCTGGGAACTAGTTTTTAGTGATTTGTGGATATGGACACCCAAATCTCTTTGCTCCTCCACAGTTCTTAATTTCTCCCCATTAAAAAAATATTCTGCTTTACCCTTTTCTGGTCCATAGAGGATGACCTCACACTTCCCTATATTGAACTCCATCTGCCACAGCTTTGCCCACTCACTTAATCTGTCTAAGTCTAAGTCCCTTTTGTAACTTCCATCTACATAACTTACTGAGCCTCCTAGTTTAGTGTTGTCTGCAAACTTGGACATAAAACTTCCTATTTCTTCATCCAAGTAATTTCTCTATATGTCACCTCCTGCCAATCAGAGAATGTTCCCTTTATTCCTTCTCTCTATTTCCTGCCAAACAACCAATTACCAAGCCACGTCACAAGGTTACCTCTGATTCCATACGCTTCCATTTTCACTAATAATCTTTTGTGTGAAACCTTATCAAAACGACAGCTATAAACACTCTCTTATCCACTATTTTAGTGATCGCCTCAAAAAATTCAACTAGGTTAGTCAGACATGACCTACCCTTCACAAACCCATGCTGACTCTCTTTGCTTAGCTTATACCTGTCCAAGCGTTCAGTCACTCTGTCCCTGATGATGGATTCCAGTATTTTCCCTACAACTGACTTTAAGCTGACAGGTCTATAGTTTCCTGATTTCTCCCTCCCTCCCTTCTTAAATAAACAGGTGATATTTGCAATTTTCCAATCTAAGGGCACAATTCCTGAATCTAGTGAGCTTTGGAAAATTATGAGAATGCATCTGCAATTTCCTCTCCTATTTCCTTTAACACCCTGGGGTGGAAACTATCAAGTCCTGGAGATTTGTCTATCTTGAGTCTCATTATTTTCTCCATTACCATTTTTTGGAGAAGCAGTAATCCGATTGCTGATGATTGACCAGGCTGTCTGGTTCCTCAGGGAATCTGGTAGTGCAGATATGCTCTCATTGTCCCAAAGCCCTCATCGGTAAGACAGCCCAAGATGGACAAGTAGCTTGAAAACATACCATTTATTTAAAAGAAAGAAAGATCAAAGAACAAGCACTCTTCTTTCAATTGCATTGTTTTGCAGCAAAACCCAATCAACCAAATCCAAAATATGTTGAGAGCAGGAGAGAGCCATTAAACGTAACAGCTGATTTGTTTCTGCTGCTGTTCATCTAATATTTGATTTAATTGATATAACACAGCAGAGATGTATTTTAACCTCTTTGTAGTCCTAAGAGATTTGCCTCTTTGCACTGTACATTTTCTCAGAATAAATGTAGACTGGGTATTCAGCGGGAAAGACTGTAAGGATTGATTGTTTGTTACTGAACTAATGAAAGAACTCACCCTAAATTGAGTGAGTCAAATTGAATTAGTGAATGAACTCAGAAGAGCAAATGCAAGAATGCACCCTTGAATGGCAACAAATTCTCTGCTGTAACCAGCTCTCTGCACCGTTTAGAGGAAATGAAACTGCGGCTAATAATTATTGACCATAGTTGGTATTTGATCTGAGGGAGTATTTACAATATAATTTTCATTTATACAGCATCTTTGAGATGGGAGGATGTCTCAAAATGCTTATAGATTAAAGATTAATCAGTTGAGCCAATAAATTGTCAATTTGGAGACATTTCTATATTTTTTGTGGTGGGGGAGGGGGAAATGGGCTGCTTTTTTTAAAAAAGTATTTGTTTCCTTTTATGGAAATCATATCTGAAAGCACATAGCTTCAAATGACCTTTATAATTCTTTTGTTCAATCTGTTTTCATAATTGAGTGATGGATGCCTGGAGACTGAGTGATTAATGCTGAATCAACACTATTCAGTTAATTTCTAAAGTTCAAAGTTAGTCTGGCATTTGGGTTAGGCTGATTCAGATTACACTTTATGTGAGGTAAGTGGTTCAATCATTCAGGCTTGTGCTTTCAAGTATCTCTCATTAGAGGCCTTCACTGCGTATAAATGAACCCTCACACGTGTACCCAGGCAATGTTACTTTAATGGTTTGGAATGATGTGTTACATTTGAGTACCCCAGGTCCAAAAAGGATATTAAAATAAAATAGTAAATAAACCTTACATTTAGTACAGCACCTTTCACATCAGGAGGATGTCCCAAAGTCCTTTTTTTTAGTGTCAGCCAGGTGTCTGGCACATACGGAAAGCCATCACCATCCTCAAGAGTATCCAAACCAAACATAATTCCATGCATCCCACCTATACATGGAAATTCCAGAGATAAATTGATGGAATGGAATGCGCTCTCTTCCTGGAAGGACACTTTCTGCTTTACCTAATTCCGGAAAGTAATAGGCGCAGGTTGGCAAGAGCCAAGGCTTGGGGACCCAAGAGCGTTCACTGGGGTACTGCTGGAGTCTAACCTGCTAAAACCTCATAGCTTGCCATTGAGAATGCTGCCTGGCAAGTTTTCCTGCTGCTTGTCTAGCTTGGACCATCCTTCGCTAGGGCTTTGTCTTACAGGGTTAATGGGAGCTGAGTGGGAAGAGTCCCAGCCACCAGTGACTGGTCTGCCCTTCCAAGACCTGTGGATGAGTCAAGCTGGCTGTCATCAGCAATGCCCTGGAGTACTACAGATCTGCCTGGCTCAGAAACAGGACTACTGTGACCGCCACAGAGGGCTGGTTCGATCCTCAAAGGATTTTCTGACAGGATTTGCTGTGAAGTGCACTGTCTGTGTTTTACACATGAATGGGCACTTTAGAGGTGAAAGTTATGAGGAAGAGGTTCAGAGAGAGGAATAAGTTCTAATTAGAAAATAGCAAATCGATTCAGGACATGATACAAGTCCACAGAGTTTGTGCAGATCTATAATAATATATAACCTTTGCTTTTGGTACAGCGCCTTATCATGTCATCTAGACATCTCAAAGTGCTTCACAGAATATACTGTAAAGTGAACTGACTGTATATTTGTGGGCGAAGTCTAACTAATAGTGATACAAGGTACCTCCAATTGTGGAGTTCTATAGCTCAGTGGTTAGAGCAAGTGAGAGAACTGGGTTTGATTCCCGGCAGAGTGAAACTTTGGGCAAGTTTCCTTACTCCACACGTCTGATAATAATCCCTCAAGAAAATAAAACAATAATAAATTGGTCACTTCAAACCACAACTGTTTGTGGGCTACTGCTGTGCGCAATTGGCTGCCGTGTTTCGCCCTCAAATATACAGTCAATTCACTTTACAGTCTATTCTGTGAAGCGCTTTGAGACGTCTAGAAGATGTGAAAAGCACTATATCAAATGCAAGGATTACTATATTATTATTATTATGTATGGCAGTTTGGTATTCATGCAATTAAATTCCCCCAAAAACATATTTCAGCTTTAGCCATAGTGACTTCAGTCTACTCTCACATATTAATACCTTCACTTTACGGTATATTCTATGAAGCCCTTTGAGACGTCTCAACAATGTGATAAGGCACTATATCAAATCCAAGGATTATTATTACCTTGTCAGACTCTGATGTTGCTTCAGCAAAGCATGCAATGTATCAACTGGAAATCTTCAGCATAACTTGGGTTAATAAGATGCAGACCCTTCAACAATTGGTTTATTTGGTATTTTTGTCTGCAGGCTCAAAAACCGTACCACCATGTTCTGTTGGAATTTGCAAACCAAAGTAGCCTCAGGGCATATAAAATGGTTGGAATATCGCTGTGTTTCTAAATGTAAAGGCCATACACGTGTATTAATAATGACATTTACTCTAAATCACAATGTGCCTAAAAAACATCAAAGTAGGCCTAGTTTTTCAATCCGTTGTTCTTTTAGAAGGTTAAAAGTATCGTTGGAAAGTCAGAACCCTTCATAATTAATTTGTCTTTTTTTAGCGCAGAAAGGGTAGTTTCTTCCACAGGAATCTTATGAGGCTTTATCTTTACATCCCTGATTTTATATCTAAGTAAACGTTTGAACAACGAGTCATGTATTATAAAGCAGGCTGTTTAAAGTGGTGTTTCAGCAGCATTATATATTTAACATCAGTAAAGCTATAGCCAAAGTTGCATTTAAATGCATTCAGACACCTATAATTGTGGTTTAACCCTTTGGCTACTTGTCTTCTCTGACCCCCTCAGAAGCTATGATGTGGCAGCACATTACGGTATAAAGCAAAACTCGGTGTGCAACTGCGTAGAATGGATACAATGTGATTAGAAATTGATAGAGCAGAGCCAGAATGCAAATCAGCATGTTAACCTGATGTAGTCCTAATGAAGAAACAAATGTTGCATTGAGTTCAGAGAATGCAAAATGTTCTCTTTGTCTTTTGGTAGTGTGACCACAAGTCCAATTTTAATTCATAGTGAAGGGAGCAAACGTGGATCAAACGATTGAACAATAGGTGCTTAAAAAAACATTTTTTACCTAACTGTGGTCAAATAATTTTGACAGGAGATAAAGTGGAAGTATGTCGACTGCATTGAAGGACATTGCTTTTGTGTATTCCTTTCTAGGTCTGTGCAACTACAATATTTGACAAATCTTTATACCAAAGGCAGGTAACCAGACACAGGTTATTGTGGCTGGGCTAAGAAATGGGCTTATTTGTCCAGGTCCACTGCTAGTATAAATCTTTTGCATACAACAGCACGTGTTTGGGAATACATAGCTACAGAGTATAAGGTCTCAGCATTCAATCTCCGGTTTGATCTCTCCAGAAACAGATTTTATTTTTAAGTTCCGCATCTACATCTACAATATTATGTATTTTGTAACACATGATAATTTCGATATCTGATATATATGCACGGCTGAATTTAATTCTTATGAAAATGAATACTTGTGCCAACTCTTAATTCTAATGCCTTATGCAGAGTTTGGGGGTCATTTTCCATCAATAATTCCAGTTTTTCTTAATTGGTATTTGCTGTTATCTTACAGAAATCCTGAACGGGGGCATCTATATTGACCAGAACAAGTTCCTGTGTTATGCAAATACTGTTCACTGGCAGGATATTGTTCGTAGCACTGCAAATGCAGACACCATAATCGTTCCAACCAACACCACCGTGGCATGTGAGTATCATATGTTACAGTTTCCTGGGACAATGAAAAGAAAAACAAGTAACAAAATAGTAGTACAGTACAAAATACAATACAGAATACAATACAATACACAATACAGAATTACATTTGTCAGGAGTTCGTCCCAAGATGCTGGACAGTCAGGAATTTTGATCCGAACAGGCGGAGGGGGGTTGGGGTAAGATAGGGTGGAGGGCTGGGAGGGTAGAAGAGTAGATGAAGGCACAAAGAGGAGGATCTTGAAACATGCCTTCCAAGAGGTAATGGAGGGAGCGAGCTGAAGGGAACGTGGGATGGAGTTCCAAAGGGTGGGGGCTCCCAAAAAAAGTCTTGCATTTGATATAGCATCTTTCACATCAGCAGGATGTCTCAACGTGCTTCACAGACTTTACCATAAAACTGTAGAAATTTACAGCACAGAAGGCGTCTTTTAAAGAACAATCCTCCATTCCCATTTGCCTGCCTTTTCCCCATGTCCCTGTGGTTTGCCCCTTTTTAGATAGTTGTCTAATTCCCTTTCGAAAGCTAATGTGGATTCTGCCTCAACTGTTGCTCTCATCAGGGCATTCTATATCCTAACAACCTTGTATGTGAAAAAGAATTCTCCTAATCTCCCCATTTGCACATTTGCTAATTGTGTGCTGCCACACAAACTGCACAGAAAGGGAGCTTGCTATAATGGAAGCAATTAATGTGCATTTTGCATGTCCTTTTTTACCCTTACACTTAATGCTGAACAGATGTTATATAAGTGCTGCACTGTAAATGATTAATCAACTGGAGTGCCTGTCCAGGTCTGCTCTGTCTAGTTAACCAAGATAACTAGTTTATTTGTGAGTTTACAATGTAGTTTAAATCCAACATATCGCACCTCCAGTGATTATTGGGTATGTTTAAAGCCTCACATCTTGGAGTTGCTATCTTCTTTTAATCAATGGAACAACCATTGCAGCCAGTTGGGTAGAACACCTCACAACAATCGCTAAAGTATCTTTAATGGCTAACCAGAATCTTTTCACATGTTAAATATTCACAAAGTAAAAAGATTATGTTGCTGATCAATGCAAATTCCTCACAGGACTTTGTCAATGGTTCAGTCACACCTGTACCCTTTGCAACAAAAAGCCCCTTTCCACAAACCCCGTGCCAATAGAGTGTGGTAGCTGGCAGCTCAGAGAACATTTGGGTTGACTTCTGTCTGCCAAGAACTATGCTGGGAATGCCCACTAAGAGGGGTGAAGTGAACCTGATTGGTTAACCCACTAAATTCAGCAACTTTGCTTAATTCCCTCCTTAATTGATATAGACTTGCAATTCAAGGACACGCAGAAACAAGCTCGCAATTTTGTCAGTGAAAATCTGCATGACCAACAACAAAATTACATTTGTATGGCCCCCTTCACGTCAGGAGGATGTCCCAAGACAGTCAGTGTTTTGTCCATTTTAGTGGACATTTTATTAGAGAGGGAAACCAACCTGTATCAGTGTGATTTTTTTATTCGGATTCAGTAAAATCAATTCGGACATTGGAGCAGGTGGTGGGGTGAGGGTCAGGCAAATCCCTTATTTTTCTTCTCTTGGAGTGAATGGGATCACTCATAAAATCTGCCCAGCAAAAATAATTGGCTGCTGGGTTTGCCTGCAAAACACAGTAACTGCAATTTACAGTGTATCCTGTGAAGCGTTTTGGAATGTTCTCCCAACCTGAAAGATGCTAGCACAAATGTAAGTATTACTATTATTATGATTGCCAAATAACAAGTCACATAGTATTCATTTGCCCACTGCCAGCGGCCATGCACACAGGACCAAAAGAGCCTCCGCTCAAATAAACAGACAGATCAGTGAGAGAAATCTGTGCTCGATTAGTTTGGCTAACACAGTGTTAGTGCCTGAAATCAAGGAAATGCCTCCAATTAGTGCAGAGATAACCAGAATAATAAGCAGTGGTGCAGTGGTGTACACTGAGAGTGTATAATGTATGAAGTGATAAAAATATTTCTGATTGATCTTGAGGCTACGAAGCACATTGGTAAATATTCCAACAGAAGTGCGTGGGGAAAATGTGGTCAATTTAAGTTTTATATAAGCCAAGCTATTTCTTGTTACTGCAATCAGGAATAGTCTCTGGGAACCTACTGAGCTGAGCTCGCCGAGCATCAACAAGCAATGCAATAGCAATAACAGTTTGGGGTAATTTCTCAGTGGGGAAGTCCATTAAAATAAGAAGTGAAAGTAAGCCAATTTGGACAGCAGTCGTTTAATTGCCAACACGCAAGAACATTGTGTCCGTGGTGGTCCCTTTGAGATGGTTCATGAATACACAAAATGAGACTGCAAGCAAATCACTTCTTTGAACAACAATCGAACAATCGAATGGCGGGATTAATTCTACATTTGCTGGGTGATAAAAGCTTGCTGTTATGAAGGAAGCGTCTAGCTTTTTATGTCAACTGTGCAAGTCCAGGGTCATGAATAGAAATCTGTTGCTCTGACTCTGATAAGTAATTAGAGATCATTAATTAACACTCCATGATCTACAGTTACAGCTGTTATTGCTGAATACGACTTGCGAATTCCCTGCTGGGGAGAAATCATCTCACCAGCTCTGACATATTAGTGGAACACAAGAGGCATATTTTATATTCAAGCCTGCCATAGGAAGGTCAAAGCCACTAGCTGCCTCTGTTTTCTCTATGACTATTGCTGAAGTGTGCTGTCATAATGAACAGCAGATCCCTGCGAGAGCCATGCCAGTTATTATTAAAATTGGGAACGGTGTTTACTAACCTTAGCTGACATTTAGGAACAGTACATAGGAAAAATAAATTCTAATTTCTCATGTTCGTACTGTACTTTTTAAAAATCACAGATGATTTAGATCTGAACAACTACTGAACCATCCATCCATCCATTAGTCCACTTTGTTCCAATTTCTTTCAGTTTTTTTTGTTTTCACCCAAATTGTTCAAAGCTATTGAAGTGCAACATATAAAACACAGTCTGCGGATTTTGCCTAGATTGATAGACTCTTGTCGTGAAGCGAATGTCAGAGTCATTAGTCTGAACCTAATGAAATGGTCATCGCAAATGCTCACCATCAAATGATGACTCATGAGAAACTCAAATAATTTATAGCTTGAGCAAATATTCTACACATCACATATTTTAATTGCCGTTTCTGGGCCAAATGCTGCTCCGGTATTTCAAATGGTCCAAAATACCTTCATCTGTTGGATAAGTTGATATATAAAATATCTTTTCTATTATTAATAATTCTTACGTGTCTTTCATGTCAGGAGGACATTCCAAAATGTAATGACTGTGTGTTTTGTGGTTGAACGATTTTTACAATACAAATTACAAATACAAATTCACAATTATGTATTGTCGGGAGGCACTAAAGATTAATAAAGGCTTTTAGACTAATGTGTTCTTTTAGTTCAAGCCCTTTCACAATCCCATAGTTATTTGTGTTTTTCTCAAAAGAACCCCAACACTTTTTTAAAGAATAAAAATTTCCAATTTTGTTTAATTTAATTGATCATACCCCTTTAATGTAAACAGCAATCACTCGGGAGAGGGGGGAGATTGTATGGTAATAGATTTGTGTTTTATTTCTGTACGTCATAAGAGAGATGCAGCTAAAGACTGCCTTTCGCCTCACTTGATCTACTCCTACCAGAATAACACTAATACTTATATTTGATAAAGCACCTTTCATCATAATAATAATAATCCTTGCATTTGATATAGAGCTTTTCACGTCTTTTAGATGTCTCAGCGCTTCACAGAATATGCTGTAAAGTGAATTGGCTGTATATTTGTGGGTGAAATGCAGCAGCCAATTGCGCACAGCAGTGTCCCACAAACAGTCGTGAATTGAAAATGACCAATTTTTTTTTTTTTTGGAGGGATTATTATTAGGTATGTGGAGTAAGGAAACTTGCCCAAGGTTTCGCCCTACCTTTCATGTCAGGGATGGCAACTATTTTCCTACCAGCAACAATTGAGCCATTTCTTAAATGAGTCCAGTGCCCTGGCCTCTTCCACTCTCCTAACCTTGTCCGGCAATTAATTATCCTCTATATGAAGAAATAAATATAATTGTACAATAATGCCAATAATCACATCAAACAGAGAAAAAAGCTACATTGTTCACTGTAGAAGATTACAGTTAATCCTGAACTCTTACCCAAAAATGTCTCATTTAATTCATTGTCAAGCTGTGTGATATAATGGGGAGTTGTATTACATCTGGTGAGATAAGCACATTGTACTTTCAATAAAACTGGAGTGTAATTATTGGCCTAGCCATTGAAATGGAGCAAAACCGCTCCTAAACCTTAATGTCTGCCATTGGCTGCAACAGCTGCTGCAGAGAAACTGTTCATATGTACGTTAAACCCTTGTTAGTGTATTTTATGACCACTTATATTGATACTCAAGTACATGTCAACTTCACTTCTGCATTGAGTTACTTTCCACAAGTTAGTCATTTTATATGTTGACCAAAACAAATTAGAATTCTTAAGTACTGTGTGGAATACACAATGCACAGGCATTGACGTACGTACCACAATGGAGAGCACAGTAAATAAATAGCACAGTATTATCTTTTTTGCTATATAAATCAGCTGTTTCAGGTTGCCTGAGAATAGGAAGACTTGTGTTTGGATCTCCAATTCCCCTCGGGTCTACAACTGCCATTCCCTACAAGGTGGTCCCAGCCTTTCTGTTGTCAGCAAGTACCAACCACAAGACTGGTGCGTTTTCCACAGGGAGAAAAAAATTGTCTGGCATCCTTGCACATGCTTCATATCAGCCAGTTCTTGTGGTGCATAGGCAGACCTGCCAGCAACTCTCCTGGCTAATCTCTCTGACATTAGTGATGTATTGGGAGACAGTGAGTAATTATAATCCTTGCATTTGATTTAGGATGTCGGCAGGACATCGCAAAGTGCTTTATATGATTTGTTGCGTATTTTATAGAAGAATGTGGAAAGCAATTTGTGAACAACAATGTCCTAAAAAGCACCCCAGCAGTGCACTGGAGTGTCACCTTAGATTATGTGAATTCGAAGCTCCAAAGTGTGTCTTGAACCCACAACCTTTTGACTCCGAGGCAAAACCGCTATCAACTGAGCCAGGCTGACACACGTGGTTTCCATTGACTGACACAATGGTTGACTACTGCAATTACTTGCTGTGATGTAGCAAGTGAAACAAGTGAGGTTTAGTTATTAAATTGTAGACGGGCAGCAAAGATTTAAATGAAAAGCAACTGGTTAATAAGAAGGAGGATTTTTGAGTCCCTTTACGCATTTTCTTTTGGAAAAGCATCTCTTTTTGGAGATATTGCATGGGGCTGTAGGCAGCATTCTGACCTTTGTCAGAGCTTGTGAGTTCAAGTTCAGCTTGAGTGACACTCCAGGGCACAAATTGGAGGTGTGGGAGTGCTGAACCGTCTGAGGTGCCGTGTTTCAAATGTGATACTGAGCCGAGATCTGATCTGATCATCGAGATAGACATTGATGACCCCACAGCACTATTCATAACGAGAAGATCATTTCTCCTCGTGAATTTGTTGGGCCTCGCTAGCATAAATGTCTGCGTTGTTTGCCCACAAGTACAGTCAGTGCACTTAACTGAAATCACTTTGAGACCTTTTTGAGGTAAAAGGCATTATAAAAATGCAAGTTCGTTATTGGAAACCCAATTTGCAACATATAGTAATCTAAATTAAAAAGCTTGATAATTAAGGTCACAATTGTTTGCAATGCAGTTGCTTCTATTCAGCCAGGGAAGACATTTTTATTTACATCTTCTCTTCTTCTCCTTGTGAAATACTTTAACATTAAAACTCATTTTAAATGAGCAATATGTATGCACAGTACAAATAAGCAGATGGTGTGAAATGACAGAAAATTATACACGTGTGATGCCAGCCGGCAGCATTTTGCAGAGATAATTACCTTAAATGAACTCTAATGCAGTAAAATCTTGACACTCGAACAAGGCTAGTGACAAGATGTGTAATTACAGTAATAACCTTTTGAACCCTTTGAAGGAACAACTGTGATGTTATTTTGCAGAAATTAAGGAAGTAACATAGAAATTTTTTAAATATTTGCAATGACCAAAATGTGGATGAATTGATAAGACTTTATTGATAGTCCGTGACCTTAACATAGTTGAGCCACTCTTCATTTGATGTAACTCGATGTTTGGTGTTGAATTTTGCTGAACAAACTGTAGTCTTGTTGCCTCTGAAACATACTGACGATATGTTTTACATGGAAGAATTGCCTTGCATGAACTCATTGTTAATGGGCACTAATTTACTCGTGCTCAGAAAAACAAGAAACCATGGTTTTAAAAAAGAAAGGTCATTGGCTCTATCACAACTCACTCCTTCCTTTTATAGTCACACAAGACCTATCCTTTAATGGATCTCACCCCTTACTACTCCCAATTCCAAGGGGAATATTCAGAACAGAATCTCAAATACAGTCAAACTAAAGGTGCAAAATATTTAGTGGTAGTCGTATCTGTTTTGAGATTTTCAAAGCTAAATTATGTGCCCCTTAGTTCTCCTCTTGCATCGGCTGTATAGAGTGGGATTGGTAATTGAGTGTTCTTGGCCTGTGTGTGTTTGTGGGGGAGAAGAAGGGGTGAAAGAAATGGCAATAAGCTTTGCAATACAGCGTTGTATAAGGGCACATTGCTGTGTATGAATTAGTTGCCAAGTTTGCCCTCAAATACAGTCGCTGTCCTTTCACAGTATATTCCATGAAGTGCTCTGAGACATCTCCTGACGTGAAAGGCGCTGTATCAAATACAAGGATTATTTATTATTAATTAGCTGGCATCACTTTTTGAAATAGCATCGTTGAAGCCAGGCCTACCTAATCCACTGAGCGAATAGTTTTATTGAATTTACGAATTTATAAGTGTGTCGAATGATATTAATGTACATCTCAATATTGGGTTGATTGTTCCAAAAATGAAAATGCAGACATCAGGCACCATCTCCTTCAGTGCTGAGTGAAAACATTTGATGTCTTTTTTTTATTGCTATGAAGAATCTATTATCTTCGTAGATTTTTAATGTTTAGAAGTAAAATTGATTTTAATTTTTCAAACTGAGCAGCTTGAATCATCATTCTGACTCCACTGCTTCATTTACTCAATGAGCACCAGCCTATTTCACTTCCCCCATCCCAACACTGGCAGTCGGGCTTTCAGCCTATCTGCCCGCACTCTGTGGAACTTCATCTCAGAGTCCCTCCGACTCGCTTTCTCCCACTCCTTGTTCAAAGTCCGTCTCAAGACCTACCTCTTTGACCGTTCTTTCGGTCATCAGTCCCCTCCCCAACTCTCTTCCTACCTACGTCCCAACCAGTGCCAACAGCCACTACTGTTACTAGCTCCTTGCAACATCTTCCCGACTTGAAAGATGCTATATAAATGTAGATTTGTATTGACGCCACCCTGCGTGAGGGGCGCTATATAAATGCAAATACAAGTAGCAAATGCTAGTATTGCATCCTGTGCAATCTGTAATATGATGTCAACCATATGAATGTGCAGTTTAATCCTGGTTTGTCTTTTTAGGTGGTAGATGCCACAAGTCTTGCAAAGGTCGATGTTGGGGTCCATCAGTGAACCAGTGTCAAAGCCGTGAGTAACTTTACTATTGAGAAAAATTAACAAACAGGTTCTTTTACCAGAGCTGATGCGCACATCCGCACTCCACGAGTGTTTTACTCCTTGCCGACTATCTAATGTGAATGATGATCCTGTGTGAAAGATTGAGATCACACCAACAAATTGCAATGGGGTAAATAAACAAATGTAAATGAAAAGCAGCATCTTATTTCATTTTACTCTGTCATAATTATTTGAAGGAAATATAATCTGGGGATTTATTTGCTAAATTACATCCCTTTGCAGTGTCATTGATTTAAATATTGTGCACCAGATAAACAGCAGGGAAATATTCATATGTTTATAGTGAGTATTAACAGGTGGATTTATTTGATGACCTACCTAGATTATGTACAAAATGAAGCAAATTGACATATTTAATTAAAATGTAACGATAAATTTAATGCAATTTCTGAGCTACAGAGTCTTGCTTGTTTCACAAGATCAGTTTAGATGAAGAAGACCCTTCAGCCCATCTGATCTCATCCTTCCAGAACACCCACCTTACTTTCCTCTCATCACAGTTCAAATTTCCGCAGGTTAAAAAGATGATTGTAAAGTACTTGTCTCCTTGTACTGCATAGGCACTTTTTAAAATTTAATTTCCACCTTTGCTGAAGAATCAGAGGCAGAACTTTGTGTTCACGAAAACAGTGCATTAAAACCATCTTTCCTCGGTCAGGATCAGGCTCAAGGGTCTGGTTCCCAGAACTCTGCTCCTAAGTTAGCTGCTGAGATGTAAATGAAAGTGTTCTTGGGTGATTTGCCTCCTAAATCTGCTGCTCCTGACGTCATTGCTAAAATTAGTAAATTCTATTGTGACTGGATGACAACCTAACATTGCACCAGACTAGCAACCTGCTTTGCTGTCATGTCGACAATGTCTGTATTGGATTAAATAATTTGGGAATAATTTGATATCTAAATCAAAGTGTTGCTGTTAACCACCTCTCCGTTAAGCAAAGACTGTGATTGAAAACTGCTCTTATGTCACTGGTCGGGAGAATGCACATCCTGGATGAATGGGATCTGGAATTCTCTGTCTATGTTCATGTTCCAGCAGAGTAGAAAGTGGATAAGGAAACTGATTTAAGTTGATTTTTTGATGATCTGCATTAAAATACATCGTTAAAGTTTGATTTTTTTTCGGTTTGATTCGTAAATGACAAATTCTCTCCCCTCCACCTCTCCTGAAGCAGCTTGACTCTTTTCTCCTTTAAAGCCTTTAATTCTAACTCTTCAAAACAAATTGTCATTGCAATTGTCATTTTTAAGTTGATAATGAACCCTAATTTTAATTGCCAATATTAAAGTTTACCAAATAACTTTGTCTTGAAAAAATACTCTGCCTGCAACAAGTAAAACTATATATTGTTTGCAGAAGGTGCAATTATTACATGCTTGTGCTAGGAATCAGCCTTCAGATATAGTTATTGAATATTTTTCTGAAAAAGCCAGAAAAATACGAGAAGAAATACTGATAGATTTCCTTTTTTATTTCCAGTAAAACTCTTTCACATCTTGATTGAAAAGACTAGTTGTAGCCTAAGGATATACTTTAAACAAAACAGGTTGACCAAAAAGTCATGATATCTACCCTATTATCTAAAAACAAACAAAAATGTCATAATTTCTCTAAGACTTATTAGACATTGTTATGGTATCACAATTTTTTGGTCATCCGATATATCCTGTGAAGCATTTTGGGACATCTTCCTAATATAAAAGGCACTGTACCAAATGTAAGGATAGTTATTATTTACCGACTTTATGCAATGAATATTGTTTGACTCATCGGTCAATGCAGTTGATTAGCTGGGGAATAAGCACAGCAAATCCTCTGGAACTGCAAAACAGATCAGTTGTAAATGCACTTTCTCTGTGGGCCAAAGATTTGATTAAAATCCTTGTTTAAGAAATGTGCATGTTTAGCTTTATTGATTTTGATCGTTTTCAAACGTTTTCTCCTTGGCTTATGGGCATTTGGAAGTAGGGGAGTATTGACATGTGCAACTTGGTGTGCTTTCTCTATATATTTCCTACACTTTTAATATAAATTCTGGCTTTCATCAGTTCTTCAGTAATAACAATAATGAAATCATGGTTAAAAGTTCAAGCATCCAGATTTTAAAATGTCACAAACTGATGTTTTTAGGGAGAAATTGTAAAGTTACAGCCAAGGTAGAGGCTAGAAAGTTTCTGACATTAAGATAAATGAGTGGCATTTCAGTCGCAGGTTGATTTGTTGACAAGGTTTTTAACTCCCCAAAAAAGGAAGCATGTTCCATAGAAAGTGGATAAACCTGTTATTGCTATCAAAGGTGCTCCATGAAACTACTGGGGTATGGGGAAAGAGCAGGGAAAGGGGACTGAAAGGATTGTTCTTGAAGTGCCATCACAGACACGATGGGTCAAATGACCTCCTTCTTGGTTTCGTATTTCTAATATTTTAACCACAACATAGACAATTTTACATTTACGTAATAAGTTTCACATCGGAAGGGCGCCTCCGAGCACGTCACAGAATCTTAATGAATTGGATTCAGAATGTTAATTACAGCTGGTAAAAGCAGAATGTGACCTTATTTCTCATTGTCTGTTCTATTTTGCCACAAATGCTCGAGGACCAAGCCATCTGCTTGTTCCTCTCTTTGAGGAACACTCCAGCAAATGGATTACACCTGCAACATGCACACAACAAACCATTGTAAAGTAGTAACTGAGCCAATTAAGATCCATGTTTTTTTCTTATTAACAAATTAAACCCTGAAGTTGCAAGCAACATTTGGAATGTTACCTTTGCATCCTTGTCCTTTATTCAATATGCCCTGTCATCGGGTATCTAATACTAATGAACACTACAGCTCAAAAACTTCTGCTGTTGTTTCAGTCTAAAAGCACTTACAGCGCAATTCAGTGTCAAACTCAACAACACAGTTTTTCTCCATGGGACCAACTTAGACAAAGAAACTATTTGCTTCATCAACACAAAGTAGGTAACGGACACTGAATTGGGATAGAGTAAAACTAAATTTATAATGTAAAAATGCCAATATCGCAGTTCATTTACTACACAGCTGAATGGAATGACACTCGTGTTAAAGTGAAATTAGTCTTCACTTGTAATGAAAATTGAGATATTAATCTTCCATTATTCATTGCAAAAGGAAAAGTGGAATGAGCCTCAGAGATCAATGGAAATTGAAAGCTCTAGGCATAAAGTGCGTAATCTCTGCCTGCTTGTTCACCGAGACTCTTGATTACACTTTTAGAAGCATCATTTCTGTTTCAGCTACCTGGAAACAGTCAATCATGGGATGACAATCCTTCTTGCAAAGTGTAAAGAGTCAGTTTCAGGTCAAGCTCATAATGTGAAGGAGCTAAGAATGCAACACCTCCTTCGGATTGGAGAGTCTTCAAATCAATATTGAATGCAGCAATTTTGAGTTGACCAATTACTGAAACTGAATTTGAACTTGATGCTTTCTCTGCTGCATCAAATGGTCAGGAATGTGCAGGCAGCCAGTCCTTCCATAGGGACATTTTGTAATGGAAAAACAAGACTGCACTACATCAGGGTTCCATTGTGTTATACAGTAATATATATATTCACATCGATTGATCTCTACGTCAATAAATATTCCATTTTAAACTTTAACAATCTAGTTCTATGCTAGTTTAGAGCAGCATTTCAGTTGGAATAGATAATGTGCGCATACTGTATATGCATAAAACATTTTGAAGTTCATATTGCAACTTTCTAATAACCTCCAAAGTCTTGCTATTGGTATCACATTAAGTTATGTGCGAGGAGGGAGGGTGGGGCGTGGAATGGAAGAGATTGGGAGAGTTGAGAAATTCAGCACTTTGCGGCTTTGTTATTTCACATCTACAAATATGATGATTGCTCAGCTTTTCCAGTTATGATGTTTCAATTGCCAACAGTTTCCAAGGTAACGCCTTACTTGGAGATAAATGCATTCTATGTACCCGCGTTCCGAATATCTTACAAAAGAAAATACTTATTTTAAAGCAGTTAAGGAGCTGCTGGTGAATACGTTCGAACAGAACGTATCACAAGGATATAATTCCTTGAATCCCAGTCATCCCCCATTTAAGTGAATGAGTTTTAATCTTAAAATCTATTGTATTCAAATGCAATGGGAGGCTGGAGTAGTGTGCGTGTCTGCGTGTGTGTGTAATTTAGCCATAGTGTTTGTGAAAGGGCTCAAGAAACTTAGCAGAGAGATTTTGTTTTCCTCTTGTAAGGCTGTCAGTTGCAAGATGGCACAAACATCAATTAGGGTAAAACAGGTTAGGATCAAATTGAAGAAAAATATGAAAGAGGCCAGGATACTGGATTTGTTTGGGGAAAAAATGGCTTAATGCTGTGATGGGAAGACAGAAGGTGGGTATTCTGGAAGGGTGAAATCAAATGGGCTGAACAAGCTTCTTCATCCAAACCAACCTTGTGAAATTAATTGAAAGGATTTAAGAGATTGTTAGATGCATGGAACCTTGGAGTAAAACTACTGAAATATATATGGCAGAAGATGGAGAGGAACTGGGATAGGTTATCACATTTGGGCTATAGATTGGTCTATGGTGGGTTCGAAGAGCTGAATGGTTTTCTCCTGCTCCTAATTTGCTATTTTCTGAGAGTTAGCACAGAAACTATTATTGCCAAAGTGTGATTTCTGCAAAAACTAGGGAGGAAATGATGATGAGAATATTTTAGATTCACTTAATTGTCAGTGAGGTGATAGCCGCTTAGAATCTCTTACTCTTTATGCTCGCAATCATTTTCGTGTTAAGTCCAATCATTTTCACTGTTGCTTACTCGTGTGAAATCTGATTTGAAAGCACAAACGGCTGGATAGTTTGTTTGTTGAAACAGTAAGCTTATGTATTGATAGGTCCTGCGTTGATGTTACATGAGCTGTTTTCTCCACAGTAACGAAGACCGTGTGTGCAGAGCAGTGTGATGGACGGTGCTTTGGCCCATACGTCAGTGACTGCTGCCACAGGGAATGTGCAGGTGGCTGCTCTGGACCAAAGGACACTGACTGCTTTGTACGTGATCACAATTTTTTTTAACACACGCACTCTCACTAACTGACTCATTTCCCAGCAGGCCTGTCTGGCTAACGATGACTAATGAAATCCAAGTCCTCTTGCAAGAATAAAATATTTGCTGATCTAAATACATGTATTAGAAATAAATCTTAATCTTTAGCTTCACTACAAATATTTTAACCCCGCCCCCAGCATCTGTTAAAAGGAAATGCACCTTGATGGGTCAATGGGCCAGAAATCTTACGGTAAAATGCCTTGCCACACGTTATTGGGTTTATAAATAAACAGGGGCTTGATTTTGCAGTTAGCAATTTGATGGCTTCATTGTGCTGTCAGTATTTCTGCCAATACTGTACATTTTTTCTCTTTTCTTTTATTAAAAATATCATGACACTAAAGCTGCACTGAAAAGGTTTGTACGAGGCCAGGTATGCAAGCTGCAGGAACACAAATGTTCCCCGATGGCCGATATAAACTGCAGCAGTGAAATCATCAGAGCAGACTGAATCTACACATTCAGAGAGCTGAAAACGCCAAACACATAAAAATGGAACATCAACAGTGCATCTTTCTAGCCAACTTTTGATTGATTAAAAACCAGGATAGCGAGCAGGCAGATTGACCTTTTAGCAGTCCATGTTTGAGTGGACAAGAAAAACTTCAATATCCAGAGAACTATGGGAGAATTTCTCATTTGCTGAGCTGTCTGGCACCAGGCCACTATGCCACCAATACAAGTCTGAGGGTTAATAATAACTAATACGGGGTGACCAAAAAGTTGTGATACCATTACAATGTCTAATAAGTCTTAAAGGAATGATGATATTTTTGTGTTTTTTTAGATAATAGGGTAGATATCTCGACTTTTTGGTCACCCTGTAAAAGGAAATGATTGTCGCTGAGTTTCAGGACACTAGTCCAATTTGCATATTCCAGATTGTCTCATAATTTTAGGGAACAAGTCTGGTTTATGAGATCTGAATCATAAATTTCATGCGTTAAATTTACTGTCCGTATTATTGTCCATAATATATCCACAGCGGTTAACTTGCCTTTTATCGGTTCTATTTTTTAATCGTTCTAGTCCCACTTCTCTATCAGTATATGACATAAAACTGAGATTGCCCTCATTTCAGAGAGGTTCAAAGTAATATTGGAGATGAGGCACACTGGAGATATGAACGTGAAAGCTTTGGCCTTTTTTATTCAGGCAGCTGTAGGACAATTAATCTCCTCATGTATTACCAGATAGTAACTTTCAGATCAAATCTGGTTTCTTCCAGCTACTTTCAGATACACCAACACAGCACAACTAAAGGGCATAGGTTTGGGGTTGCAAAGGGACACTTCAGGACAGACACCAGGAAGGTTTTTGTGTACAAAGGGTAATTAATGTCGGGATTGAGTTACCAGGATAGGTGGTTCAGACCAGAATGGAAAAAAATGGCTTATTGCTGTGGTGGGAGGATGGTATTGCTGTGGTGGGTATTTTAGTGGGATGAGATCAAATAGTCCTTCTTCAACTGAATCAATCTCCTGATTTAGTCAAATTGATTATTGTTAATAATTGATGGTTGTAAGATGCTGGAGGAATCCCAGGATACCCAGTCCCATTGTGCCACACTATAACCTAATAAGTAGGAGCAATGCCTTTTTTAATTTATTCAAAACGGATGCATTTCTTCCATAATAATGGGTCTCTTTGACTTTACAGGCCTGCACCAACTTCAACGACAGTGGAGCCTGCGTCACACAGTGTCCTTTACCATTTATTTACAACACCATGAGTTTCCAGCTGGAATCTAACCCACAGGCCAAGTATACGTATGGAGCCTTCTGTGTCAAGAAATGTCCACGTATGTGTAGAGGAAATAAAATCCCCTTTCATTTTGTCAGTGCTGATGAGTAAGAAACTCGCTCATGCCCAAGTAATAGTGTAGTCGTTGACTGTGAAAGAGGATTTTCCTTCAAGGGAAGTAGGTTCTTAATTTAGTCATGAGCTGAATGACACAACTGAGTTGTATTACCAGGCTGCATTGTGTTGAAAATCTTGTGTCAGAGTTGAGCTGATTCCTGTCTGCACTGTATAAGCAGAAGAGGAGCTCCTCAACATGAATATGTGGTGCACAAGTGATCATTTGCTGAGCTGCTATGATATTTTGGCATCGTAGCATCTCAGAATATAAATGATATTGTTACTTATTTTCATTGCTTCCCTCCTGTAATTAAATTCCTCATCCAAACTTCCCAGCTTTAAAGAGGCCAGATGAGTTGTTGTCAATCCCATTCACCAGCTGATCGCTAGAGTTTTTGGTCAGCGATTGGGTTGGCTTAGAGAATCTGAAATGTCACAATGGTTCAAGACCAGTTGTGATATACATGGAATTAGTGCAATTTACTCCTGCTTGCTCATTTTCTCTGCCTTTTTTAAAAAAAAAGTACTTGCCTGAAAATTTGATGCAGTATCCGAAAAAGAATCCTTTAAGATTTAGTTGTCAAATGGGTTTGTGTCTGTGTGTCTGTATGTACACGTGCGCTATTTTAAAATGAGAACATTTCAATTGAAAATCTCCCTGTGTCAAATCTGCGTCATTGGAGAAGACATAATATGGAACGACTCTCTTTGTCATTTTGAAAATGTGGTTATATCTGGATGGTATCGGTTTGCTAAGAGAAATTATTGCATTATTTCGCTGCTGGAATTATTGATCTTCCACTTAAGAGATCAAGTAAAACAAATTGCATGATCAAGTAAAGACGAGTCCATATTAGAGCAAACTGGATTCATTATGGATTTCCCCTCATCTGTTTATATTACTTTACAAAGCTGCTTCTATTAGTCAACCCTATGATCTATCAGAATCCAGTATCTTGTTGGTTATTTTATAAAACTGTTTTGTTCTTTATTAAGGCAACTATACTATTGAAATACTATGTAAAGGCTACTAAACTATATTGTCTAAAATAATAAGCCACTATACTGAATTAAGATAGTACTATGAAATGGCCAATATACTGTATTACAAAGTACTATGGAAGAGCCACTATACTGTATTGTGCAGTGATGGTTACTCATCTTAAAAGTAAATGACTTAACACAAAGTATCGCAATATATAAACTTTTAAATCCATATTAAAAGTGTAAAATCCTGGTGAAATGGGTGGAATGTTTTAAACCTGGAGGTCATAAAACTCACACAGAGAAAATTCACATGGACAAAAATGAAAATGTCTTAGAAATAGATTGAACATTGTGAGATCAAGGTTGTTTTAGGAATATTTTATGTTGTAGTAAAAGCATGGAATATCACTGTGATTGCTGTCTGCTTCCATTACAGCAGCAGGTTTGTTATGTAACCAGCATGATGATGAGCAGGGTGACTTCTGAGGAGAAATAAGCTGATTCATAAGTTGAAGAAAACTTGAGAACGGAGAGAATTTTAGCAGACAAAGGCTCAACAGAGATTAACCTCTACAAAGGACACATCCACTCTGTGATCCCTGTGCCATTACAAAGAACAACAAAGTGATACCCACTTGTTACCTCTGCTGTACTGGTGGATTTCAGTACAGTAATGCAGCCGTTGTATTATTGGAAGTAAAGTGACTTTGTTGCCAGCAGTGGAGCGATATAGAACAGGAAGCCTGATCTGTATGTCCTGTTCTTCCTCATCACCGTTGTTAATTCTTAATGTTATAAAGCAGTAGGTGTCTCGCAACCAGCTGTTTTATGACATTAAAAAAGCACATTCCTTTGAAAGTTCTTAGGCTGACCCTTGGAGTTGCTTAACAATTTATCATCAAGGGGCATCTGCTCAAGGAGGTCTCGGCAATGAAATGTGCATTAGAAATACAGTGTAGGATAAATAACATTGGGCAAAATCTTTTCCACCAAATGGTGCATTTGCTGGTGTCTTTGTCTCACATTACAGTAGGTAACTGTATTTTGACAACACTGAGTCTGTTAAATGTTGGCTTAATACAAGAGTTGATATGCATACATGGGCAATGCATACATATGTATGAAATGGTTGACAACACATCCACTCTTGTTCTGCAGATAACTTTGTGGTGGACTACAGCTCCTGCGTGCGTGCATGTCCAAGCAATAAGATGGAAGTAGAAGAAAATGGAATTAAAGTGTGCAAACCATGCACAGATATTTGTCCGAAAGGTAATGGATGGTTATAAGCTCTGTCTCTTTCTACCTCCACCTGCAAACAGCACTTACTAAATCTGAGACATTTACTGTACTTCAAAGACTTCTACCCTGTGATAATAATGAAAGACTTACCAACCATTCATAATAATCTGCTGGTCAACTTAGTTAACTTTGCACATTGGCATATAGTCTTTTTGTTTCTTTATAGCTTTTCTTTCCTTTAGATGTCATTCTGGCAGGTTGTGGATTCTAGTCCCATATCGGCACTTGAGTTCATGCTCCACTACATTGTTGTGTTGATTGATGTAGTGGAATATTAGATTTTATATAGCATGTGTAACCTATACAATGCTTACCAAGGATGGATTTGCAATCAGCATAGTTAAATGCAAGTACCTAGTTGGAGCTATACAGTATGCTTCCTGCCAGTGCATAAGCATCACACAAAGACATGGTCATTAGACATGTGAATACATATTCCAGATAAGATGTGAAACATGTTTGTGACTCTCAAATGATCACTCCTCAGCTAGGACAGTCAAGTGCTCTCAAGAATTTCCTAGTTCCGAGCCAGATTGAGTTCTTTTTTCTAAAAAAAGCACAAAGATTTGAGAGAGAGGTTCATAGAAAATCAGGGTTTTACATTATGGCTAACATGATTGTCTTATGCCCATGGGAACGTGTGTGTTTGTGGTCGTATTAATATTCTCTCTAAATCAATCTCCAACTATATATTGTGACTTTTCTGGAGAAAACATTGTTTAACTTTGTGGTCTTTGTTCCGTCCCTTTCCCAGTTTGTGATGGTATTGGTACTGGGAGCTTACAAATGGCAAAAACAGTTGACTCGAGCAACATTGACAAGTTTGTGAACTGCACCAAAATCAATGGAAACCTTATTTTTCTGATTACTGGCATTGAGGGGTGAGTATTGAAGCAAATGTCTTTGATTAAACCACATTACATTGTTAACTTAGATTTACTGTTTAGAAAAAATGACTGAAACTATTCAGTATTACACAGCACTCCATAATATATAGTAATACAGTCCATCTCAAGACTTTGTTCTTTGAGCAGCTTTCAGTCACCTTTGCTCTGTATTCCTCCTTCCCCCCAAAACCGTGGTACTTAGCTAGCAGAGTAAAGGGTTTTAAGACATTCCTCCCAATGTGAAAGATGCTATATAAATGCAAATTGCATTGTATAGCTGTAAAAATAACCAAATTAAATATCTGAATACATTGGATAAATGTTTCGACAAAAATAATATTAAGGGTGTTGGGGGGAAAAAGGAAGAAAATGGGATGAGAGAAGAAGCCATCTTCTTTAAAACCAATTTAAAACCATCAGGATAGAAATGAGAGGTTGAATGGCCATTTCTGGTACTGTCAAATATTCATTGCTTCACACTCCCAACCTCGCAGTCATTTACTTTGTCGCATTGGTATGATATCTCTGTGTCTTCTCAGCTGTAAAATGATGTGTGGTTTAAGTCGGGCGCTTAAAAGAATGATGAGCCTAGGAGTGGTCACACGTTGAACTAATCCAATACCAGCAGAAGATTTTTTAATCTTTTTAAAAAGTTTTTCTCCTTTGGCCAACAATCTTGGCCAACAATCCCCAAAATAAAATTGATCACTCATTCCATGGCTGTTTGTGGGATATTGCTGTGCGCAATTTGGTTGCTCTGCATTCACCCACAAAATAGACACAGTCACACCACTTCACAATATATCCTGTGAAGCGCTTTGAGATGCCTCAGTAACATGATAAGGCGCTCTATTAAATGAGAAGATTGTTATTATATATCCAATTACTTCTCCCCCTCCCAAAAAGAAATAGTCCAAATAGATATGAGTCTGCATTAAAATCTGAGTGATGGCAAACAAGTTAAAACTTTGAGGCCTGGCTGATTACTGAGGTGACTGAGTCTTTAGGTTGGTTTCAAAGCAGCAGCTGTGAACCAGTACCAGAACATTAATATTTTATATCTGACTGAGCAAGTTGTTCTTTCTTTCAGTGACCCTTATCATAATATCGCGGCTTTGGATCCCGAGAAATTGAATGTCTTTCGGACGGTCCGAGAGATAACAGGTAATAAAGCTGAAGCACATTTTGCGTAGTGAAATAAGTAAAACCAATTTTCAAATTTTGCAATCTTTCAAAGTCATATGAGATGCAATGAAGCCTCTGTAACTATTCCAAACTAACTTACCATCTCTATCTCAGTGATAATAAATCATTTGTTTTTAGCTGCACGCTCAATCCACAGCCGCCACCCCGCCCCCCGCCATCACCACCCCCGCTTTTAAATCCCACCTTAAAACCTTCTTCTTCAATGAGTGTCTATAGCCACCTCCTCTTCCCCGATCTCCCTTGCTGATCCTGACATTGTAAAGCTCCCCAGGTCATTATACTACGTGAAGGATGCTATATAAATGAGCATTGCTGTCATTGCATTGAACCATTTCATGTAGTGCATTGATTTCAAACTGACCACATCAAATTAAGGCTTTATTGTATCATTTATTTTTACAATTTAACAAGTTTAATCATGGACAATTGTTCCTCTTAAATGGTAACACAAATAGTATATCTTGCCTTTTGTGAAGTACTGCTTATTTGCCAGTGAGTAGCAGCTGGCAGAGAAGATGATGGTACTATTTCAATTTATTGCCTTGCGCAACTGCAGAAAAATATCTTTTCTTCAATTTCTTTATGGAGGTGAACAACATTACAGATGCACGGAATACATATTATAAAATTCCATGGATGCACCCTCATTGCAGGATTGCATGTTGATTTATATGCCATTTTGCACTCACATATATACCAACAGGGAGACATGAGTGCATGGATCGTGAGTGCCCGGAATAAAATCAGAATAAATATACACACAACTCTACTTCTTTTTACCAAAGTTCTGTCTCTGCTACCCTCTCCATGGCCATAAAGGTAGACAGAAAACTACAACACTCTCAGTTGCACATGGTAATTCCTGAGACAGATTTCCTGATACCTGTGTTATCTGTTCCACTTGCTCTGATCTAGAAGCAACAGCTATCTGTTGGTGCTGTTATTTTCAACAATTACTTGCATTTAAATGGCACCTTTCATGTTGGATGACGTTGTATACAACAACAACAAGATTCCATTTATAAAGCGCCTTTCACGCCAGGAGGACGTCCCAAGGCGCTGCACAGTTGGGTCAGGACCCGAGCAGGGGGAAATGGTCAGGGTGAGGGGAGGGAAGGGAGGGAGCGAGGAGGGGGGAAATGGTCAGGGTGAGGGGAGGGAGGGAGCGAGAAGGGGGAAGAGAGTCGAGAGGGGAGCTGAAGGCTCGGTCAAAGAGAAAGGTTTTGAGACCGGCCTTGAAGGAGGAAAGGGAGGATGGAGTTCCAGAGCCTCGGGGCTGAGAGGCTGAAGGCCCGACCACCGATGGTAGGGTGATTGAGGCGGGGGACGTGGAGCAGACTGGAGCCGGAGGAACGGAGGGTACGGGCAGGTAGGTAGGGGGATAGTAGGTCAGAGAGGTAGGAGGGAGCGAGGCCGTGGATGGCCTTATAGGTGAGGATGAGGATCTTGAAATCAATCCTCTGGGGGATGGGGAGCCAGTGGAGGCGAGCGAGGGTGGGTGTGATGTGGTCCCGAAGCCTGGTGCGGGACAGTACACGAACTGCAGAGTTATGAATGCTGAATTCAGAGTTCAGAGTTCCGAAGTATAATGCTTCACAGTGGTGGGGTTGGATACCAAGCTACAAGGAAGGGGGGAGGGAGAGGTGACCACTCGCGCTGTTGAATAAATAGGTTTTAAGGTGGGATTTGAAGGTAGATAGGGGACAAGGGATAAAGGCAATGAGTTCCAGAGGTGGTAGGTGTAGCGACTGAAGGCTCGGTCATTGATGGGTTTTAATTCACAGTAAGCCTGTGTTATTTTCAGGGAAAATAGCAGCGCAGGGAAAATGTCCATTGACAAAGTCCTCTGCTCTCTTACTGGAACTCACATTTTTTCAGTCTCTTGCTGCATGAACCTAATCTTATTTTTTTTTTGCTAGGATTTTTGAACATCCAGTCGTGGCCGAGAAATATGTCCGATTTCAATGTGTTTTCCAACCTGGTGATAATCGGTGGCAGGAGCTTGTACAGGTGAGTGAGAGTCTGAGTGGTTAACGTGCTTTTTGCCACACCAAGTTTTAAAGGTCCTGTATTCGGATGAGTTGTTGGACATTTTTTCCTCTTTCTCGTATCATGTGACTGTATCTTGGACTGGGGTCGCAGGCTGTTACCAAACCTGTTCTCTAACTGGGTGAGATGAACTTATGTGAAATACCCTCTTGAATTTCCCTCCTTTATGACATGGGGAGTACCTGGATTCTGCAGAATAACCTGCCTGGTAGCACAGTTGAGATTGGGAGCTCATTGCCTTAGGAAAGATAAACCTTTCTTGTTCTTTACATATCCCATAGGCAAGTAGCTGATAGAGCAATCAGCTCTGCTCTTCAGAGCAGCTAAAGCACCAATTGTATTAAGAATTACAGGAAGGGAGGGAAATTACTGACAATTTCACTGGTTGACTTTCATATTAAATCTTATCTAAATAATGCTAAATGAATTGGTCTTTCTTATCAACCTGTTAAATGGAGTGAGAAACAGACATTTGGGTTCCAGAAATTGTTTTTTATTCTCTGGTTTGACAGCTCCTGTATCATTCTTTCAGTTGCCTCCAGCAGTTAATTACGAGCAGGCAAACTGGCCACGTAACAGCACTACAGCGTCTCAGCTCATGTACCCCTGTAGCACTCTACTACGATCTCAGAAAGATGCGTTGCCTTTTGGAAAGCCCCTGTGTGGATTCCCACTGTCAGAATCATGACAACTGGTGCCGCGACTAGAGAGTGGGAAAAAATATGCATTCATTGGTTAATTCAGTTCATTGCAGTAGTTGATTAATTACGGTGTTGTTTCAGTATCTCTCTCAGGATTACAGATGAGAGATCACATCATGTGTATCCAATTTTAAGTCACAATTATTCATCATGGATTATGCAGATCCTGCCGTTAAATAGCATCGATGCCACGTGTGCTATTAGGAGTGCAGACACATCCTCTTGACAGGAACTTCTTGCTGCAATCACATAATAATTCTTTCACATATCGCAAACAAAAACATTCACATGTGACGAGCGGCTGATCTGAATGTTTAAAGTACACATCATTAGGGTGCACTTAGACAAACAAGTCAAAGAAAAATTCACACCATCATCTGAAATGTATCATTATATACTTTTTCAGCTTAAGGCATCAAGCATCATTTGCGTATAATGTCATGAAATCCACAGCAGCGTGCTATAACCAATATTGTATTTTCTACCCATGAACAGTGGGATTTCCCTGCTGATTTTGAAACAACAGTGGGTAACATCACTCCACTTCCAGTCCCTAATGGAAATCAGCGCAGGCAACGTATATGTGTCGGACAACCCAAGCCTGTGCTATTATCACACTGTGAACTGGACTGTGCTGTTCAGAACCAACTCACAGAAACCAGTCATAAAGAATAATAGAAATTCACAGAACTGCAGTAAGTACTACATACTTCTCTCTATAACCCTCTCCCAAATGGAGAAAGAAACCACGAATGTATTCTTCAATACATCTTAAGAGTTTCTCAAGCAAAGGTGTTATAAAATCCTATAAATACATTGCTCTTCTATGTATATTTTTATGCCGAATAAGTATACGGCTGCATTGTACAAGCAACTTAGAGAGTTTGCACTAAAATATAGCTTTGAAATAGTGGGCAAATTGCATACTGGTTTCTATGGGTAATATGCTTCCCAGCTCAAAGTGAAAGATTACTTATTAAAAATTAGATAATAAGTAATTAGAATCAGATAGATTTTTAAATTTATAATTAGTTCATAGAGCAACTTTCACCAGAATTATTTACATTATTGCATTATGAAGACTGCAGCTGGGGATTTTATCCAGTTAAGAACCAAATAACATGTTTCACATGCTGTTCATATCGTGCACTGAGCTGTGAATCAGTCAGGTCCCAGCTGTCAAAAGTGTTAGGTGGGGATGAGAGTGCAAATTAATTTGGGATTCAGATTTAGGAATGAGAGGGACTGAAATGCAAATGTTACAACCATAAGGCTAGCCAACAAATAAATTGGATCTAGTCAACCTCAGTTATATAAAAAGTGAATAATTTTCATCCATCCCAGCAACTTCTCTGTTAAGAGGCAAGAATGTGTGTTATTTGAGGCTAACTTGATTATGACTAACATCGTAATGGACAACATTTATACAGTCTGCGTCAAAAAAACACTACTGCCCATAATCTACCTTTGACCATTTTAACCTAATATATGGCCCATCTCAAGACATTATCTCTTTTGGTCCTCATTCCCTTCCCCACCTTTGTCAGCTCCCACCCCTCAGCTCAAATGGCCACCCAGCAGTTTCAAGCAATTTGAGTTGTCCTCCTGTCATACACAATAAGCATTATATATTCTAAATTTTATTTAAAATAATAATCCTTGAATTTGGTATAGTGTGGTACTTTTCAAAATTCTTCACAAGTTACACTGTAATGTGAAGCAACTGAGATCTGCCTGAACAGAGGTGGATGTTGCACTGTTTGAAAAGGGAAAGGAGTTACTCCCAGTGTCCTGGCCAGCAATCCCCTAAATAAAATTGATTATTCACTTCAGGTCTATTTATGAGACATTGCTGTGCACAAAAATCGGCTGCTGCATTTGCCATAAAATGCGCAGTCACTTTACAATATATCCTGTGAGATGCTCCTGATCTGAAAGGTACTATATCAAATGTAAGGCTTATTATTATTTTTATCATTATCACAATCAAACAAAATGTGTTATTGCGAGTCGCCAGTGTATTTGCTGTTCAATTTATGATCGAATAACAAATACAATGTGCCAGTTCCGGCTGCTTGTAATGAAAGAATTTTCTTGTGCAAGTGATGTGAGTGACACTGCTTCTTTCTTAGCTTCTGATAAGATGGTGTGTGATGCCCTCTGTTCAGACAACGGCTGCTGGGGACCAGGACCAGACCAATGCTTGTCTTGCAGGTTCTTCAGTAGAGGGAGCAACTGCACTGAATCCTGTAACTTATATGAGGGGTAAGTAATCAAATCATGCCCGTGCAGCCAATCTAATCTAAACTCTTAAACTAATCAACAACAACAAATGCAGCGGCCTTCATGCTGGGTAGGGTCCCAGAGCGCTACAATCAGGAGGCAGGAGGGTGTTTTTCCACTGATGGAATCAAAAACAAAAGACAAAGATATTAATAGTACATGAATATGAAGCGAATTTTCAAATAATTGGCTCTTGTTGTCGGACCAGGATGAGGACAGAGACAGAGGCATTACCTTGCTTGGCTTTGTGAGGCTGGAATACGATTAGTATCTGAGCAGAAGCGAATTAGCTTTCCCTACAATTTGACCACATTAGAGACCAAACTTAATAATAATTATAATAGTCCTTCCATTTTATATAGTGCTTTATCACGTCCTCAGAAATGGCTCAAAGTGCTTCACAGAGGTGTTCTGTAAAGTGCAGTGACTGTGTATTTGTAACCAAACTTCTGTGGCAATGCATTGCGCATTTTTTTTAACAGTTCCCTTCTTGTTCCTATTATGTAGTAAACACTGTGGCATGAATGTTCTCTAATTTTACCTTGTCTAAATGAGGTGTGCAGAATCTGTCACAATACAATATTTAAGTTTTTTTAATCAACACAAAGTCTGGATGGATGGTTTCAAATTAAGAGACTGTGTACAGTATCCTAATTATGAGAAGAAAATGATGGGATTACTATAATAAAGATTGAAGTAGATTTTCAAAATTAATTTCCCTTGGTGGGAGTAACAGAAATGTAAAACTTGTTTTTGTATCCTGTATGAATACGGTGGTTAAGTCTAACATTGACCCTGCGAGACGATTAGTTTTTAATTAAAGCCAGCTTTATTACAATTTAATACTTATCCATTTGGTATCATAAAGGACCAGTATTGATGAATGTGTTATAATGTTTTAAATAATTGATGCTTTGAAAATATCTATTTTGGCTGCTCAGGTAAATTCAGAAATGCTTTTTTTAAAATATTCGTTTTAAAGAGCTGAAAACGAGCCACGTAACTTTTCCTCTGAAACCCGATTACGACTCAGAATCAGGTTTGCAACCATTCTAGCATTTATCTATCTAATATTAAGATTCAGACTCCCCTGAGATTGTGTCCTTCACAGCAGCTGAAATATCATTATTACATTGTTGATCTTCTCTCGGAATGAGTGGCCATACTATGGTAGATTTTCGCCCACAAAATATAAAGTCAATTCACTTGACAGTATAATCTGTGAAGTGCTTTTAGATGTCTCAAAGATGTGATGAGGCGCTATATCAAATGCAAGGATTATTATTATATAGATAAGGTTTGCTCATTGAAATACTACATAGGCAAAATAAATGAATCCAGGAGGTTATTGGCCATAAACAGTATGTCACACAAATACGTAATGCATGTTTTACAAACCAGTAAAGTCGTAGCCCCATTATTAATAAAGGAATTTTATGAACAGCCTTTTTCAATTACTTGAGTGTGAATAGAGCCCTGCACAATTTAGGGATACTTTTTTAAAAAAAAGCAAAACAGTACACTTTGATGCAAAACAAAACAGACCAACAATTATTTGGAAGTTACACCAATGCAAGACATTCAGAGTTGTGAGGGCAGACATCAAGAAGCGTTTTCTAAATGCAGAGTAAATAGTGGCTGAAATATAGGTTGTAAAGAAGGTTAGTTGTGACCAAGACACTGGATTCATTGAACTAATGTTGTTGGGATTTGAGTGGGTTGATATCAAATATGCTAGAGAGCCTTTTCATCTGAACCTTTCTTTGTGATCTTTGTGAAGAATAAATATGCTCTATGTAAGAATTTTTTTTTAACCACTTAAGTTGCAGGTGATAACCAACAGCAACACTTATTATCTGGCTAGTTAGACGGTCACATCAAGACTGGATGTATATTTTGCCTTCCTGCTGCTCTTTAACTCTTGTTTAGAGATAAACTATTTGTAATGTTAGCAGTCATCAACTGTCGGACAGATTAATTACTGGGTTGATGAATAGTTCCAACTTCACAACAGAACAGAAGTTAAAACATTTACAATTCGTAATTAGAATGTAATTCCACTCTGTTTTCTGAGATGTGTTTCACCGGAACTATAAGTATTTTCAGTGTACCCATTTCAGAGAGAACTCCCTTCTGATGCTTGTCTTTAAGTACAGGAATCCCTGTCCATTAATCAATGCTGAAGGCATTCTCCAGCTCCATAACTAGCCAATATGCTAAACTTAAACATCCAGGTTCCTGGGGCTGACCTTCGCGAGAGACGTTAAACCGAGGTCTCGTATGCCTGTTCAAGTGGATGTTAAAGATCTGCAGTACTATTTGAAAAGAAAAACGTTCTAACAATCCCCCAGTTAAATTGATCATTAGTTTCATGGCTGTTTGTTGGACATTGCTGTGAAATTTGTCTTTGAAATATCCTCCTGACATGAAAGGCCCCTGATCAAATGCAAGGATTTTTATGATGATGATGATTATGTTTAGGGATTTTGTTACATATTGATCCTCTCTGAACGCAAGTATAGAGAAGTGATTTCAAAATAGTAGATCGAAGAAGACTAGATGAAATGTCTTAAAAATGTAACATGCAATTTGTAATACTGAGCTTCCTCAATATCGTTCAGGGAATTCCGAGAATTTGCAAACGGCACCGTCTGCATGGAATGTGACGGACAATGCGAGAAAATGGATGAAGATATAGTGACGTGCCATGGATTGGTAAGAGATCAATTTCGAGGCTGCCTGAGGCCTGTTACAGAAATGTACCATTGGGTTTTGTATCAAAATGCTCGGTTACCATGCTTATTGTGCACCACATACAAAGATTTGCGGAAAGATTTCACAACCTGGAAGCATGGAGTGAAATGCAATGGGCTAGCTTCATCCTAACAAACCTCTCCCGTGAATCTTGGTGAGGTACTACACTACAGCCAATTGGCCCCTCACCTTGGTTCTCAATGGAGGCTTTCCACTTAACAGCTTGTCTGTCATCTGTGGTCTCGAACTTCAGGAAATGTGGATTGTGCTGAGTGTGATACTTCCTTCATTCCACTGAGTCACAAGGTGTTCGAGCAACTGATTAATGGGTGCCACGCAGCATTAACGTTATTTGGATGGCTGTGCACTTGACATAGACCGTGAGAAGTGTTCCCTTAATGTAGTGGACCCTAGCAGTATTTCACTGAGCACCCCTGGGTTGTGCAATCTGTTGTGCAAAATGTATGGGTTTGCAGCAAAAGCTTGTTTACAGGAACATTCCCTCAGCAAGTAAATAGCACTTTTATTTAATAGACTTTATGAAGCAAAAACTGCCATAAATATGGGAATTATAGACTGAGGTGTCTCAAGAAACACATTAACACTTGGATGGGTGCCTTTTAACTTGCTTCTAGACCCATGTTGCCAGTAAATTAGTGTGTAGTTCTCGACTTGATTAACGATGTGTGTAAAACGTAATTCCAATTCTAAAACATTCAGATATTCTCAGGGTTTAAATCATAAGCTTCTGGTACAGATTGATACAGGTCAATAGTTTAGGATACACTGAGACCATAGAACAAAAGCTCGTAGGTTTAGAGATGTAAAGCAATGTCAGGACAGACACCAGGAAGTTTTTTCTTTACCCAGAGGGTGATTCGCTGCTCCCTCCAAATAATATATCAATGTAAATTGCATTCTTCCATGTTTTAACAACTCTCTGCCATGAAAAGGTTCTGCCCGACTTTCCACACCCCTTGAACTCGATTTACTAAACAGAAAATAATCAATTTACCAAAAGGAATAATCTGTCACACTTTGTTGTCCTCAAACCTTTCAGAATGTTGTGACTTGCATTGCATCTACTCTTATTCTTTTCTGTTCCAATGACAATAGACCCAATTTGTCAAACCTTTGCACATAATCATAATCTCTCAAAACAATAAGCATCCAGCATGGATTCCCCCAAGCACAGCGCAAGCTTCATCCAGCCAATCCAAAGAACATCCCCCGTCTGTGCCTTCTAAGTTTCAGCCATGTGTCATCGATTTACTTTGAATACCAACGAACCTTAATTTTCTCAATCTTATTTGGCGCCTTATGAAATACCTTTTGAAAATCCATATATCTACAAGTAAAGCCTATATATGTGTGTGTGTATATATATATATATATTGCCTCATTTCCTTGCTCTGTAGATCCTGTGATTTCTTCAAAAAAATTCAATTTAATTAGTCAAGCCTGGCCTGGCCTTTACAAATTCATGGCCACTCTTTTCCTTTATGTTGATTAATTTATTTCAAACACTGCTGAGTATTAAAGGGTTTTGTGTCACACACTCTATTTTCCATTAGCGTATTGTGCTTTGTAATTTTCTAGAGTTATCTTGCAATTTAAGCATTAGAAACCCAGTTGATATCATGCGCAGTGCAAAGAGTTAATGAGTCATGCACATCACTTAAAGCACGCACAACAGGATTATGGTTCATAAGATGCCAATTTAACTTTAATTAGAAACCCATCCAAAAAGTCTGGTGTTCAGCCCTTATCAGACCCTTTTTTTCCTAATGCATGATTATACATTTACTACAATGCTTCTTTTTGTAGAATCTTCCTCTTGCTAAAATGATTTGGAGTTTAATTTAGCCATGTTTGTCAACAGACTTGCATTAAAGCAATTGGGAATAGGGTGTTCAAGGTATTATTGTGCTATCAATAGCACCGCATTGTGATTGTTTCACTCTCTGCCTGGATTTGCCCGATGGTAGGTATAGTGTAAGCTTACTTGATGGCTAATAAAGGGAAGTACCTTCAGAAATAATTTCAGGCCAGACACCGGGAAGTATTTTTTCCTGGGTAGTATACCTGGAATAGATTATCAGGAGTGGTGTTGGGGACCAGGACACTGGACTCATTTAAAAATATAAACAGCTAGCCCCTTTGATCTCATCCTTTTAAAATACCCACATTACCGTTTTCCTGTCATCATTCGAACCTGATCCACTCTTGTGATCTTGTGCCTTCTGCTTTTCTGATCCAGGAACCTGTTGTGTGTTTCTATCCATAAAACTGTAAAACCATTGAATCTCTCAACATATTATGCCTTTCAATGAATAAAAGGTTTATATCAGTAGTTCCAGGTGCTGTTCTGTCACTTCTAGAGTTGGCGTTGTCTTACTGATGCAGATAACTCAACCTCCTCCCACCCTAACTGATTGTTCTTTTGTGTCCAGCATATATTTTCTATTAACATCCGTCTTTACTGCTGGAGTTTTCAGCCAGCTGAGTTCTTGACACAGCCTGCTCCAAAACACTGAACAACAACAGCAACAACTTGCGCTTATTAGAGCCCTCCACCCAGTAGCCAGTACAAACATCACCATATCCCGAAGTGTTGCCAATTCATACATCCATTTACACGCCTACAAAAATGCCTGCCAGGCTCAAACAAATCATTTTCCCTTTAAATGCAGTGATTGGAACATTATTAAAATACGTGCTGCAGAGAGTGAATAATACAACTGCCTTGGCTTCAGAAGGACACACCTGCAGGACTGTGTGCAGTTTTGTTCTTATTATTTCAAAAAGGAAATTCAATTGTTGGATCAAGTGGAGTTGGAAGGCTCCTTGATTATTTTAGACCCTAGAGATTGAAGGACTAAATGGAAGTGTTTGGAAACTGAACTAGAAAAATTTCCATCAACTAAAATATTCTGGGTTATTACATTTGGAAATTGAAGAACCAAAAGCATCACTGCTGGAAAGTGTAAACTTCACCCCCCGCAGCACTCCAGTCCTTGTCGGGCTCCACTGGCTCCCTATCGCAGAACGGATGATATTCAAGATCTTCACACTTGCATACAAATCACTTCAGGCTTTGGCACCTCCCTACCTCTCTAATCTGCTTACACCCCACTCTTCTACCCACCCCCTTTGCTCAGTTCACTACAGCCTCCTGCGTATCCCTTATCCTCTCTGCTCTGCCATTGACAGCTATGCTTTCAGCCACTCTGCCCCCAAATCTCTGGAACTCTCTGCCTCAATCCCTCCCCCTTGACCCCTCCTTACTTGTCTTCAGATCACACCTGAAGACCTTTGTCATGGAACATGCCTATGGTCACACCCCCCCCTCCTTGGCTTGGCACCAAGCTCAGATACTGCTAAACACTCTGACATGCTGCCCACTGTGATAGGTGCTAGATCAGTGATCTATTCCTGCCTGAAATGTTACTATGTTTATATTTTATGATAAAAAACAAAGAAACATTAGAATCCTCAATATGCTCTTTAATTGAAAAACTATTTTAATATTGGGAGGGAATATTGACTTTGCCAGGCCATGGAAAGACACTGCTGTGAATGACGATTATCATAGTCTCAGCCCTCTGTTGGGTTGGTCGTACCTCTTTCCGGCAACAATGTAATGAATGTACTTGTTTGTTTATGGTCGTCAGGGCCCCGACCACTGCACTAAGTGTTCCCATTACATGGACGGCCCCAACTGTGTGGAGAAATGCCCAGACGGTCTTCAGGGAGCCAGCAGTTTCATTTTCAAGTTTGCTGATTCTACAAACGAGTGCCACCCTTGCCATTCGAACTGTACCCAGGGGTAAGTGATCAATGTGCTGGAAGGTGCAGAGCTCCCAGTGCAGTTTATTCACCTAGTGATTGTGGAGGATAGTGCAGACATGAAACAGGGTTGGGTTTTAAGAATTGGCTGAATAGAAGGTGAAAACGCTTCTTTGCACAATGTATTTTCACAATGTCTTCAGTTTTTTTTGTCCTATAAGGATGCTGTAATTATTTGCCACCGATAATCGTAATTTAATAACATTCCAGTAGGTGTTTGCTACATTAGGAAATGTATTTGATTTGATAAAAGTGAGAGGTTTCAAGTCTGATTGACGGCAAAGCTGGAGTAAGTGTTTCTTCGTACATTCATCAAATTAAGTCAATATATATTAAGCGTGTTGGCTAATCTTAACAGTTCAAGTTGAGCATTGAATAATAGACCTCTTTTGTGTGTTGTGTTGCAATTGAGACACTTATGAATGACGGTGAATATCATTATGCTGATAGGACCCGAAACAGATTTAACATTTGTCTGAAGTGTCTCATCACGGGTTATACCAGTAATACAAGTAAAAGACTCTACTCTGCCTTGCATTATGATTCCATTTAAATGAAGCAAACAATAAGCAAATAAGTAATTCCAGCAATGTTGTTGTGGATTTGTAAGTGTAACTTCCGTCCATTGTCAGTGATTAGTCTTTTTGATTGCCTCCTCCTCTCAAAGAGTGGTTGGCTATTCATTCTTCAGCATCGGAGATTGCTGTGACACTGCTGTTTGCTGTGCTTCATTGCATACTGGAGCCTGCCTTGCATTTGAAAATTGGGGTGTGCGGGTAGGCAGAAGAGGAAAAAATGTACCCATCAGAAAAAAGTTTAATTTCCAATTCAAAAGAAATCAAAATTGGAAACTTCTCTCCCAGTCGGGAAAAAACGTATGGATATGTGACAGTAACTGAGATTGTCCTCTGTATTGAATTGAACCAGTTCCCCATGCCGGAATAATCTAGTCTCTTGTTTTGTAAATGTGTTCCAAAACAAGTGTGCCACGAATCAAAGCTCCCACTTATATAGAGTTTCGCAGAATGATACTGCAGGGAAACAGGCCTTTCGACCCACTGTGCTGGTGCTTATACTCCACATCAGCCTTCACTCTTTTTATTCCCCTCTCCTATATCCCTCTATTCCTTTTGTCCTGCTGTAGATCTATGCAGCAACTTCTCATGTTGAGGCAAACTTGGTCGGTAGTCTATTTTCATTAACGATAAGTTCCTAGCCGAAGATAAACACACTATCTGGCTCATGCAAAAATAGTGTAACATACGTGTGAATGTTGCCTGGTTTCACAGCATATACCACATTTGAATGCATTGGGTACATTTCATACATTGTAACGTACAGATCTGCAGTGTCAACAAGTAGTTCTCAGGTAGGTTCAGTCCTTGAAGCAGCCTGCTATTAAATCATTGCTGCTGTGCTGTCCTTCGCTGTAAGCTTGTGTAACGCCAGACACCCTGTCTGCTGTAGCGCTGATGTTCTCAGCACCTTTCTGAAACATTTTGTCCATTTTTTAAAATTCTACACTTTCTGTGAAAATTGCGGCACAAGTAAAACGTTGATTGACGAGGACTGGTGATTTCGCTGATGCACCAAACTTGCCCCTCTACAAACTTGACAGCATGGTTAGCAAGATACTTTATCTTGGAGAGCTGGCCCTTTTGTAGGGCACTGCTTTAAAACACAATTATAGTTCGGCAAGCGGGATGCGCATTCCATAAAGTGTGTTGGAAATGTACAGTGGGGTTGTAGATAGTTGTAAAAGAGCTAAGTAAATATTGAGACCTGTTCGTATCAGCATGTGTTTCAATTTGACCAGTGAGTCCTCCTCTGTCACTGATCCTCCTACAAGATGCCAGGACCTTCCTTAGCCAGCAGATTGTGTCTGAGCTGAATTCTGGCTAGTCAGCATGAGATATGCTCCTGTCTGTCTCCCAACACCTTGTTGCAAGATTTAATCATTACGAATTCCTTTACAAATCCCAACGACACCACAGTGTAAAACTCAGGATTCAGATTGTACCAGAGTTACAGTTGGTTAGCTGCCTAGTGCTCCTGAGTCAAGAGACTATTTTTCCAGGAACTTAGGCAACCAGAGAAGCGCAAGTATCTCTTTATAAAACCAAGTTAATTTAACATTGCAAAAACCAATGCGAAACTGAACCAAACTCAGTGTGGGGGGTGGGGGGGAGACACTTTTGGCATTGTCTCAGTCCCTTGATGTGTTCCAACACACCCTTTACTGTGGGTTTCATACTATATGGAGTATTTATAATTTGCCGTTTCCTCTCACAGTCCTAGGCTTCTCCGTCTCCCTGCTGCTGTTTCTTTCTCCTTTTTAGTGTTCCTTCTTGTATTTTCTGTGATTCTTTTTTCTTTTCCTCTTCTGCTCTGCATTCCTCACTATCCCTCCTTTCCATTCTTTCCTTCATTTTGCCTCACTCGCTCCCAAGAGTTCTGCCACCTGGACCATCTTGTCTGCTGTGGCAATATGACCATTAAGATTTTATGAACGTGTCCTGTTCCATGGTTATCTCAGTGAACATTGGAGAAGTTCCCCTTGGCTTTAGAAATCTGACAACTCTGTGTTTCTCAGATGTTTTTTTGACTATGTTTTATGGCCAGTCATTCATGAAATAAAAGTCATAGAGATAGCACAAGGTCTCAGTCAAATGCACTAGGTGGGCGCAATTGGAAGGGAAAGCTGGTAACCTGCAAACCCACACTTGTGCCTCTTGTGGTTAATTAAAAACCAACATCCCTAACCACTGTCACTGAACGAGATTGTGTGGCGATGAAGGCCCTCTACTGGGGAGAAAGTGGTGACAACGATGATGGGGTTCAATGTACTTTAGGTTACTAAATCCAGTTAATGTGAGGTCTGCACTGTGTTTCAGGACAGTGAGTTTTTAGAAATTGAGATTATAAAATGATCAAACCAAGAGCAGTTCATCATTTTCATATCCAGTTTCTAAAATATGCAGCATCCTTGAAACACAATTCAACCTATATTACAGAATATCTAACAGAGCAAGATTATAGAGCCTGTGGAGGGGGAGAGGAGGAGGTTTTTTCCCCCCAGTGGTGTGAGTCACAACAGAGAACAACAAAAAGATAGATAGTCCCACAATCAAGATGTAATGAGCAATCCTGGCTATCTAATAATGCGCTGTCCAGGGATCTATCACTCACTGATCAGTACTACTTGCAGTCTTTCCATTGTGTGTTATAATGGGATTTCCCATTCTAAAGCCACGCTGAGAAAGAGCAAAAGTCTTGATGATCGGGCATGCAATACAGACTCACTCCATGTAGTTTAAGTAAATACAGTCCTGAAGATTGTTATATAATACAGAACTGGTAACTGGTGAATTCATAAACTATATCCATTCTTCGTAATCACTGGTTCATTCCATACAGATCACATTGTCATTGTTCCTGCTTTGGCACACTGTCAAAATGCTTTATTTGTTAAGTCTATAATTTTTTTTTGAACACACGAGATTTGGGGTTTTCAAGTGCACTGGCAGATTCCCATGAAGGTAAAATGCCATCCGTCCAAAGCTATAATTTAACCATTGTGAGTGTGATATGGTAACGTTTTAAAGATTATAATTACTCTGTTAACATGAAGGTTTTTGTTTTCCCCCTGAATAACGGCGTTCAACTTTCCTGTGCTGCAGGTGCACAGGCCCACGTACTCAGGACTGCACCGGGATGATGGATAGGTACTATTGTGTGCTAGCTGTTGCATGCTGTGCTGTGTGAATGTTGGTGAAAATGGGTGATGTTGTGCTCTAATTGTACACAGGTGTACAGGCCCCAATCTCCATAACTGCATTATCTTTCCATGGATGGCTCACGCCAACTTTCCACAGCACCCTAGGTAACAACGACCACATTTCCATTCTGTCCCATTTCTTCCCACCCACACTCACGTTGTGTAAAATCATGAAAATGAAGCGATGAATAAATAATGTAAATGAGAGCCTTTCGACGATAATTCCTATTAAATCATCAAATTAACCTTGTAATCACCCTATCCAAAAACCCTAAAAGAAACCTTCTAATCACCCTAAAAATGAGGTTTTGATGAGGACTTACCAATGAAATGGGCTCCACTTTCTCTGCTTGTTCTATTTTTACTTGATAGTGTTTCTTTATCAGTCAAGGATGCTTTTCTAATAGATTCTGAAGTGGTTTGCTAATTGCTCCGGGTTAACTGCAAGGGCCTGGCCTCTTAGCCTCAAGTTTGAGATTTGCACAAGCATGTCCGGCTCAATGAAAACAGGGATTTGGCATTTACCAGGTGACATTTCTGCTGGGAAAACAAATAAGATATTTGGCAATCACAGCTTGCTTTAATTACCTGTGTCACTTCCCAATGCTTCCACCAGCTTCCTGACCTTTTCTTTTCCAGATCATGCAAATTCCACGATTGAATTAACGCTTGTGTCATTGCAAGGGAAATAAAGCATCCGAGACCGATTTGATACTGCCTTCATATACATTGGGTCAACAGTCCCGTGGTGATACACAGATAGACAGATAGACAGATAGATTGATTAATTGATTGATTGATTAATGGATAGATAGAGAGACAGAGAACAGATTTGACTGATTGCTTTGCTCACTGAATTTTGCTGCAGTTGCAATTCTCTGACACTGATGCAGATATGACAAAGACAATAGATTTTAATTCGGTCAAACAGCTTTCCACAGATTGATAATATTTCATAGAAGAAAAATGTTTCCTTTTAGTACAAAATGCCGCTGGGAATCTTTTCAGTGCCACTAAAAAGTTGGTTGTGTTAATCAATCCGATATTGAGGAGGTGGGAAGAGGGGTCGGTGGGGGGCGCGGAGATGATGTGATCCCAACGTGCATATTATTTCCACAGCCAATTTGTTCCCAGTTAAAACATAAGTCCTGTGGCTCAGTGGTTAGAGCACTCGCTTTGCAAGCGAGAGACCTGAGTTCAATTCCAGGCAGGGCGAAACCTTGGGCAAGTTTCCTTACTCCACACGCCTAATAATAATCCCTCCAAAAAACCAAAAACAATAATAAAATTGGTCATTTTCAATCTACGACTGTTTGTGGGTCATTGCTGTGCGCAATTGGCTGCCGCGTTTGCCCACAAATATACAGTCAATTCACTTTACAGTGTGTTCTGTGAAGCGCTTTGGGACGTCCTCCTGACGTGAAAAGCGCTATATCAAATGCAAGGATTATTATTATTATTATAATACAGGACCATCCAGGGCTCTTTCCTTTGGCTCAGGTCCAATAGTGGTTGGAGCTTATGCTGCCTTTACCTTGTCCATCATGGAAAAGCAATCCTTTTTTCCAAACAAACCGTGCATTATGTTTTATGCTGAAGCACAGCTAACAATGAGGTACAAGCAGGAGCTCAACCTTGGGGGCTTCTGCATGGTTTGCACATCCGCTCAGGCTCTATACTTGCCCTTTAGGACACCGTCAGAAATGCTTTATTACCTAGCAACTCATCGCTGGACACCTATTAATCTATATTTCTAATTCTTTTGATATTGTAATATTGACCTTCACAGTAAGGCTTTTGTTTATTCTATGCTAATTATTTGCACATATCAATAATCCACTCCTCTTTCTGAGCCTCATTGGGCCCCCACTTTGTGTGAGATGATTTTGAATGGGATCCTTTTTCACAGCCACCTTCAATGTTTCAGCACAATCAGCCAGGGCCCCTTCACAGTAAGATAGGCCCCCCGCTAGTCTTTACTTCCCTTTTGTAGCAGAGCATCCATATCCCACTGTGGTGAAGAGCTCCTTTTTACAGAAGCCTATTCAAGAATAACAAGACCTCAGACAGAAACGGAATTTGCTGGAAAGTGCACAGCTCGTCAGCCAGCAAGTGTGGGTTAAAATTTTACATGTGACCCAGATGACAGGTTAATGTGTCTTCCGCTTTCCGGTGCTGATCAACCTGAAATGCATTACGGTCATTTTCTGTTTTATATGAGGTTCCTCACACTCGCTGTGTTTCCTTTCTATTCATTGTGGAGAAGAGTCCCAGGCAAATGCTGGGATCAAACTCTATCTTTATTTATTCATTTGCATTGGTACCCATTGACATTTGTCAGGCCCAATAACCAATTTTAAACTCTGCGTTTCTCTATCTTTCTATTAATTTATTCTATTTATTGCCTGACCCAGCGTAAATTCAGTGAAGCGCCTCGAGACATCTAGACAAAGCGAGAAGCCACTATATTAAATGCAAGGATTATGATTTATTGTGAACCAGTTTCAAATGACTTCCAACATGGTCAGTTGGCTTGGTTGCTGACAAGGAATGCAATCTTTTGCCTGATTTGCACTTCAATGGAGGAATCCGGAGCAGAATGGTGGGATTTATAATCTTGCTTCCGTGTTTTTCAGAGACTCTGTACCTGAATTCATGCACAGAGCTCCATTATGCAATATTAATTTTCTAATGTTATTCAAACGTTGGTTGTAGTAACATTGAAAACAGACCCTCAAAAATTCCGAACTTCTGAGAAGGGATAATTATTGAGTGGTGACTAAATCGATCTGCAATGGCCTTGTTTATTATGAAATGGTGAGAATCAGATGGCAAAACTGCCTCTGAAAGCCTAGTCGTGCCAGTGTGAATTGCTTTTCTTTTGTACTTCTTACACTTGACAGATAAACTCATATGAGCAATATAAACTGGGCATACATCTGTAATTTATTTACTATGTTTGCTGTTTACTATCTTTAAAACTAAGGTAGTAAATGAATGGAGGAGAGAAGTATCGCTGACCATTTAATGCTTCTCGTTTGTAACCCTCAGAGTGTTGGCAGCTCTGGGGAACTCTAATCTGGGACTAACCATTTAAAAAAGTTGCTTTTAAAAAGTTACGCATGTTGCCTTGTTGGAGTAGTGAGATTGAATTGGAGTTTAGCAACTTCTCTCCCTCCACGCCCCCCCCCCCCCCCCCCCCCCCCCCCCGGTTATTTAATCACAAGGATAATCCTTACTCATGTTTATTCGTTACAAACCTGGATGTTATTTTTTTCTTTTACAACTGTTAATAAAACTTTTAATGAAACAGAAAACATAGAATTCAATAGGACAGTTGCTCACTACTATAATTATTCACTCACTTCCTATATTATCCAGGCAGGGTGAAACCTTGGGCAGGTTTCCTTACTCCACACGCCTAATAACAATCCCTCCAAAAAACAAAACAATAATAAATTGGTCATTTTCAATCCACGACTATTTGTGGGACACTGCTGTGCACAATTGGCTGCTGCATCTCGCCCACAAATATACAATATACGGTCAATTCACTTTACAGTATATTCTGTGAAGCGCTTTAAGACGTCAAGAAGACGTGAAAAAGCGCTATATCAAACGCAAGGATTATTATTATTATTTTTATATTGGCTGTCATGTTTTGCCCACAAAGATACACTTTACACTATATTCCATGAAGCACTTTGAGGCGACATTAAAATACAAGGATTATTACATTTTTCTGGACGCTGAACAGCTCAACATGGATAGGAAGGCTCTCGGCTATAAAACCCAAACTGTGTTGGGATTGTTCACTAAATTGCTACTTTTCTGTCATGGAACTCCCTGGTATCATTGGTCATAATGCCAGAGAAGTCTCTGGTAGAGCATTATTACTGGGCTATGTACTGTGAGTTGTTTAAAGTTTCACAGAAACAAGAATAATTCACCTGCGCAACATGGGAAAGTAGTTCAGTTGATGAGGGCTGGAAAACTATAGGTTGAGCATGTGGAACATGAGGGAATCCCATGCATCTTAATGAGATTAAATGAATTGTTTCCTGTGTCCCACAGCAGCTAAGATTGGGTATTTTATTAATTTCGTACATTGGTACAATTTAATAACATCAAGCGATGAACTCATAATGTAAACCACAGTGCTCCAACTGGTGGCCCATGGGCCGAATCCAGCCCGGGGGATGAATTCATCCATGAACCATTTCTAACTTCATTGTCTAACAAGCAAATACAGGCAACACCCAAGACAATCTGGAGACGGTCACGGGGTGGGGGTGGGGTTGGAGCTCAGGCAGTATGTTTTCCACTATGCTTAGAAAAAATATGGAATTTTCTCATGTGGAATCTAAATCTGCTTTGTTTATTCTCAATATTATTTTTAATTATTATATATTCAGTGTATCTTTATTTTGTGCCTTTATTCATTTTGCAATTATGGATTAATCTGTTTTGGTTTTGTTGAGCACTCTCTGTAGGGCTTCCATATGCTGAGTAGTTTTGGGGGGGATTTTAATACATAAACATTAACTTGATGCATATATTATTTCCATTTGAGATTATCTTTATTTTGTTAATTGTTAGGGCTATTACATTATGTGCATTTTAATTCACTTAATTATTTCTGCCCATTTAAAGTTTGCAATGTAACTAAAATATAGAGAAATTAAGCAATAGTTACATCATTTAAAACATAGGATTTCTATATGATTCTTACAGGGTTTGTTTCCAGAAGGGAAACACAAAAATATCGCTTATGTGACTTGTGGTCGTTTCTCAAATCTGGCAGTCAAAAGGTTGAAACACCCTGCCGTAAACTGTGGCCAGCACTTTGTGAGACTGGTGACTTGAAGTTATGCTATGTCTGGATTATATTGCTATAGAGATGGGCTCTGGAAATGGATCCACGATCCAGCCTCTGCCGAATAGGCTATGGATATCTGACATGCTGCGTGAATAGAGTAACTCGAGACCAGGGGTGGAACTTTACCCCACAAATGTTTACCATTCTAACTGCAGCTGTACGCTATATAATGCACTGTTCACTCCCTGCCTTCCTGCCTCTTCTCGTTCAAGGCATGTCTGATAATGTAACTATTTCACCACGCTTTCAGTCATCTATACTTTCCCCGTTGCACTGTGCTTGATCCCACCTCCAACTTGGGTTTTGTCGAGCACTTTGAGACGTTCTCCCAACGTAAAAGGTGTTACACAAATGTAAATTGTACCGTATTGCACTGTACATTGATGTTGGTGCAAAACAAAACCAGAAGGTACCTTTCCATGAGAGGCCTTCCCCAACAACAACTTGCATTTATATAGCGATCCTCATGCAGGGTAACGTCCCAGAGCGCTTGACAGTGGTGGAGCATGATGCCAAGCTCGGGGGGAGTGGAGGTGACCATAGGCACGGTCAAATAGTAAGGTCTTCAGGCGCGACCTGAAGATGGGAAAGGAAGGAGCAAGGCGCAGGGATAGAGGAAGAGTGTTCCTGAGTTTCAGGGCATAGTGGCACACTGAAGGCACACAAAACAGCCTCTTGTCAAGCTGCTGCATTTATAAGACTCCCTATCAGTAACCCAGTCTGACATGAAGCAGTCTGAAAGAGACACCCCATGAGTAGGCGAGTCTGTCTGCCAGCTCATGAGGTTTGTCTGTTTGAAGACAAGTACATTTGTAAGATTCCCTCTTGTCATGAATCTTACTGTTTCTCTTGGTATTCTACTCACTTCCTTCTTGCTTGATGTTTACCTCCCTCGGTTCAAAGGCACGTTCTAGATATAATGACAATTATGCGTGCATTTGTGAGGGAAGGAAATAAAAGTTCTAACTGTGCCGTCAAAGGTACAATGTTAAGCAGCTGATTGTAGGAAATAGTTTATAAACATCCAGATATTTATGGCTGGGAAATTGTCGGCAAAGAAAAATGAGGGAGTCTCATAAGAAGTTTTTAAAATGTACATTAACAGAAAGAACTTGAATTTCTGTAGTGGCTTATTGTATCAAAATGGCTCAAAGCATTTCACATGTCGAGTGTAGTGACCGTTTGTTTTGGTGAGCAAGTTCAACAATCATTTGTGCCTGCAAGATTCAATAAAATAGCCAAAATAAAATTGGTCATTTACTTCAATGTGGGACATTGGTGTGCACAAATTGACTGTCACATTTGCCCACAAATACAGTCACTACACTTCACAGTAAAATCCTGTAAAGCACATTGAAATGTCTCAGCAATGTCTTGGTAAGGCAAGGATTATTATTATTATACAAGATGAATGACCAGTTAACATGAAAGATTATTGACCAGGACTTTGCTATGAGCGTGTATCAACCCCACACACCACACCATCTTTCCCCATCATTTCATTTTGCTTTCCAGACACACGCACACACACACACTTTTCCTCTTCTCTCTCTTTCTTTCTCCTCTTGCTCACTCACTGTTCAATGCAGGATGGGCTGTAATTACTTTTCGATATCAGTACAAAAGAAATGATAAATGCTACTTATTTCTTATCATATTTTTGAATCCATTTACAAAGGAGAGGCTTTGAGCTGAAAGGCGATGCCATCCAAATTATTAATAAAAGTAGTTTGAATTGCAAAAAGATTAATTAGGCTTTGGTTCTGAATCTTTTTAAAATCACCTTACCTTTGTAAAGTTTTGATGCTGTCTGCAATCGCTGCTTTGCCCTTTTGTCTGAATCTGGATGCTTTCACTTTCACGGCCCCAAGTAATAGAATCACGTTCAAGTGATGAATAATTCTAATTGAAAACAAGGAGTCTGATTAGCTTGAATTTGTGAGCTGTGACTGGGATTTGTATGAATGAAGTTAGTCCACTCCTGATACAAGACCAACCTCCACAAGCTTGAACTCATCTGCCTAACTACTGTCTCTTGAGGCACTTTTACAATACATTTGTTTAGCATGTTTCATGCTGGTAGGACACCTCCAAGTCCTTAACAACACCCAAGCTGTGGGGTGAGAGCCATAGGCAATGGAGAAATCTAAGGTAGCCTTTAAAAAGAGATCAAGCATTTCTTACAATTACTGACCGACAGGAATACCTTTTGTGATTTCCCTTTTGCTTCCTTTGCCGATGCTTAAAAGGTCTGTTTGATTGTATTCATGCAGATGGTTGTAGTCTTGATCCAAACCCAGTATCTCCCTCTAGTACCAAGGATCAAAACACTAACCCAGAAACTTGGAAATCAAAGTTTCAATGCCTTCAGTTCCTCTTCTTTGTTTCTTTAAAGAGAGGGGGAGAGAGAGAAGAAACGAGTCTTTCAGTGAGGAAGAAAAGCCACATGGTCCATTCATCCATGATTAACAATTGAAGCAGCCAGTACCCTTTCATAATAAATTTAATTAAAAAGTCTACTGCTAGAGCAACAGACAATTATCTGATTTTTCAGTCCAATGCAAACCTATTCTAAAAATATGATCACTGCATTGCACAGTCTCTGGAACTATTGAGCAGGTTTTTAATACTGAGCCATGCGCACAAGATTGATCCCAATGTATATTGGTGCTTTTTTTCCTTGTGGTTTTATTCCAACTTTTTCTTTCGTAGTCAGTGCGGTGTGATTGAATGATGATGGTTGGATGTGCTTTCAATTTTCTTAATGTATTTGAATCGTCAGTTCAGTTGCTTTCTGTTGCCCAGTTTCGCATCCATTGTCTCATTCCAATTTCCAGGACTCCACTGATTGCCGCTGGGGTGATTGGCGGTCTCTTCATCATGGTCATTATGGCTCTGGTGTTTGCCGTGTACGTCAGGAGAAAGAGCATCAGGAAGAAGCGAGCATTGCGCCGATTTCTGGAAACCGAGGTATCCTTGTAGATCTAAAAACAAAATAGATTTTATTTTTTTCCCCCCAGAATTGCCCAAGTGCATAGAAAATGGTGACTCCTCCATTAAGTGGGAAGGTTTGTTCAGGAGTTACCAACTTTGTTTTAGTTCTGAGTCTCGTATCTTCCATTTCCCTACCTGTGACTCGATGACTGGACCAAGTCCTCTTGTGATGGGTCTAACATAGGTTCGATATACAATGGAGCAGGTAGTTCTCTTCGTATCCTGGGCATTTGGTAATATTTGCACCGACTCTGTTGCTCTGGTACAAATCAGATTGCTTAAGAAAGTACCTACTCCTGATAGTGCGATGCTTCCGGTGCTACCTATTTGTGTTCAAACTGTTCAAAATCCTCTGGATAAAATTGGCATTGCATTCCATTCAGCACAAATTGGCTACCTGGTTCGCTTCCAAAATACACAGTTATTACATTTTACAGTAAAATCCTGTCAAAATGGTTTGCGGATGTCTCATCAATGTGATAAGGTGCTATACAAAATGCAAGGATTATTATTATTACTATTACTAGAGAAGAGTTCATTCTATCACTCTACATTGAACTCAAATCCGGGTCCGAGAGTAGAAACGACAAGTTTTCATCCCATCCTTAAATAATTTAAGATCTTTGCCTTTTTTTCCCCCCCATTGATTCACTATAAACCATTATTTAATTGTGTTGCAGTTGGTGGAGCCTTTAACCCCCAGTGGTGCCGCACCTAATCAGGCACAGCTTCGAATCCTCAAGGAGACTGAATTGAAACGAGTCAAAATTCTGGGTTCTGGTGCCTTTGGGACTGTGTACAAAGTAAGTAGTTCGGTTGTGCTCTGGGTTAGTAACTCTGAAAACTAACTTGTACCCATTATCCTGAACAGATTTTTCCAACTCTTAATTCCCTGTGTCTCATGAGATGCCTTCTAAAATTATGACTTAAGACCTAAAAACGGCAAGCACAGTCAATTCTTCTTAATGTGGCCCGATTCATCTAAATCTTTTCTCCTCATAGATTTTTTGTTAGCTCTTGACAGCTGAGGAAAATTCCCCCAGCTAAAGCCGCTTGCGCTGTAAAATAATTTGTTGCAAGACGCATTTCTCCAGGATGATGTTTTCTGTCTTCATCAGGGAATCTGGGTCCCAGAGGGAGAGACGGTGAAGATTCCTGTGGCCATTAAGATCCTACGTGAGAGAACAGGTCCCAAGGCTAATGTAGAATTTATGGACGTAAGTCATTGCCATGTAGCTTGTGATTAATTTTGTGAGTACAGTAATGGAAACAAGAGAAGTGGCAGATATTGATTGCACTGAGGTTGTCAATGAAACAGAGACACAAAGTGTTCAAATGAAGTTCGAGTACTTAACTGGCGGTTCATTTGCTTCCTATTTGAAAATGATTAAACCACAAGACGAGAAAAGCAGACGAACTGCATCGCAAGGTGTCAGTCACATAATTGTGGAAACGGCCTTGAACAGCAGATAATGTATTGCTAATGGATATAATCAGTTGATGCAGCTTTTATAGAACGTTTTGTGGAGGTGTAATTAACCTAACACAACATCCCTTTACTGTGAATTCTCTTCAAAGATACCAGCTGAGTTTACAGAAAACCCTACCCTGGTTCAGCTTGCCCAGCCATACATCTGTGCAGTTGCATATTCATTGTAATCAAATTCCATTTACAAAATGTTCAATTAGTTCTCTTGCTAGAGTGTTGGTGCCATCAGATCTAGTTATCATTAGAAGTAAATGCTGTGGAACTTGTTATTCTATCGCATTTGGCCAGGCAACGAAAGCAAGGTTCAAGACCCGTTTTCACCCTTTTTCATAATCTGTCACCCTCCAGTATTTTTTCATTTCACTCGAAGTTTCATTTGTAAACAGCTTATGCCCATAGGAGTATAGTTTGAAAATGTCACCGCACCTACTAGAAACTAATTCCAAAGATTGGCAGCAGCTTCACGTCACAATACAAGGCACATCTACAAGTGTGCCTATTTCTGCTCCACATTCAAGAATTTTGAAAGCAGTCATAGAATAAGAAGTCCCACCCACCCCCATGTCATATTGTTTCATACTTGGTACAGTGATATTGAGGCCATTTACAATGTTCTGCTGCTGTCCAGCTGATGTCAAATAATTTGCTTCAGACTCAAGCCAGAAATAGCTTCAGTTCTGCATAGCTCAGTAACACAGCATGAGATATTTTTCAGCTCAGCTATTGCGGAAGTACTCTGTTTTTTTTAAAGTATTAGGTTGGGAAGGTGACATTCAAAGTGCTGGCCAAGGTCTTTGAACACGTAGAGTAGAGGACCAATAACTAATACGGAGGGTCACAGGGGTAAATGTGGGTGGTGAACATTTTAGATCAAGGACTAAACGTTTTATGTTTTGTGAGGGAAGGCTGGCAAGAAACAAGTTGTTTCTGTTATTGTGAAAGAAACTCACCTCCTGAGAAATTCATGCAAAACCTTTATTTGTAACCTTTAAAATCAGAAGATGGCCCATTACCTTGGACTAAAGAGTAGATTAAATGGCCATTTAATCTGAACCGTACTTTTACCGGTAAACAGAGTGGTTTTGTCAGAAGTAGTTATTAGACTGGTAAATGCAGAGAATTAAAGTAATTGACAGGCACCACAAATGGTCTTGAGTGATGAAGCACTGCGGGAACAGGTGACTGAATCAAGTTATGAACTGACTGGGAAGTGGCTCTGAGCTTCAGAACTAGCTTTGCAAACCATTTGATGATGTACCTAAAAAAAACTGTAGCTTCACAATGATTATTGTGCTGTTAGGCTGCCAGATTGTGGTCAGATGATGGCATGATCAAGGTGAACAACTATATCACAGTATGCAGCATGAAGCTGGGAAAAGGGAAACTTTGCCTTGAGAAAATCTAAATGCAAGCCCAGTACTTTGATGCAATTCTGTAGTTGAATTTTTATACTGGCCTTATTTTCTTATTTACTGACTATGGAAGAGTACATACGATTTGGAAAATATTTTACCTTAGTTTACAAACAATTTGTATTTTTTTTCTATTGTCTTTATGCAGGTATTCTGCAATAACTCAACACCCATTTGCATTCCCGTAATGAATATGGCAATATCTTGGAGTAGCATTCATTCAAAATCAATTCTGCATTGTACGTCTCATGAACACTATTTATAGAACAGTATTGAAGAAATGTTGCTGCTTTTTGATGCATAGCGTTGGATATGTGAAGGTTACATGTTCTAAGTGTTGGGAGAATTCCCACAAGATCAAAGATAGAAAAGTTAAATCAGATGGAAATTTTGCATGTTGTACATATGGCAAAAATATCCACTTGATCAAATTGAAACATTTAATTCTATATTGAAAAGGACGGAAGTCATAACCGGAGACCCATCTTTTGTTTTGCTTTTCTTGTCACTCCTTATTATTGGTGCTTCTTTTCTTATGTCATTTGGTTCTTTCTTTTAAACTAGGTACCAATTAATTTTTGTTTTAATGTAAAGTAAAAGTCGGATTATATTCCTTTCATCAACTCCCACTTATGGTCATATTTTACCTTACCTCAGTGTTTTAAAAGAAACATGTTCTTTTTCTCCTGGCTATCCTCCTCACCCAAGTACACCCCAACAATTCTAATGAATAGTCTGCGCATCCAACCATGCAGGAGAGAGTTGGAGATGCCCCCCACATCGGCTTTCTTGTCTCAGTCAGGCTGTGAGGGTTATGTGGCTGAGAAAAAGATGAGCACTTTCCTTGTGTTAGGAGGGAAGATAAGAGACAGTGAATCAAGTCAGGCATTGTATTAAAATTAGAGGTACCTACACCAGTTCGAAGTGAGATTAGAAAAGATTTCTTCACACAAAGCACTGTGATAATAATGTGGTATACACTGCCCCATAGGGCTATAGAAACACCATCTAGTGGAATGTGAAATAGGAAGATAAATAAACACTTGGGTGATAGCAAATATGGAGAAAAGACAGTGTGTTGCGATTAAAAGATTTGCCATGATCTAATGAAATTGTGGAACTGCCTCGACTGGCTGAATGACTTCCTCCTATTCATATATTTAAGTCTGCTTTCCGCACTCCCTACAGTTACACAATAAGCTTCATTGAGTCAGTCGAGTCCCCCACAGCTAAGAAAGAGCACAAGGGGGAGCCTAAAAGAAAGAAGGAAAACTGAAAAGCCCAGGCGGAATTTTTTTAAATAATTGGGAAAATTAAAGGCTATGTATGTATCTCAGCTAATTTTATACACTTCATCTCCATGCAACAGCAGCCTCTTTTGGATGTCACAATTGAATTGGTGCATTGTAAAAATGCTTGAGTGATCTCTGGTTGGCGGTAGTTCATGAAACGGAGTCATTTCCATTAATCTGAATTCGAGTGGCCTTAATCCAAACCAGTATTCATTATTATCCCTTGAGACAAAGCAATAAATTGAAAAACATATGCCAGAGAATCTTAAAAGATAATGAAACTGAACCATATGCCCATGACCTTTATATTTGTAATAAAACCAACTGCAGTGAAAGAGTTAATCCACATCATGTGACTCACCACAATGTTAGGATGATAACTAATATTAAAGTGAGTGTCACAGATTCCCTGTTGATGATTCCTGTGGTGAATAGTTTTAATTGTAAGCAAATATGAGATTTTTAATATTTGCATTAAAGCCTGATGTTCCTGCTGATATGATAATCTTTCACTTTCTGTGCTGCAAATTTTACTCTGGTTAAAGGCAGGATTTAGCCAAATGTTAGGAACCTGGAAGGGTATTTACTAAAATCTCCACAAGTCGTGTTTTGAAAGCCATGTCAGTTCAACAGAATCGCTGAGATTTAATCTAAAATGAATTAAAAATGAAATACTTGATTTGCATTATGGATTAAAAGGCTTCTTTTTTGTCAAATGTGTGGAAATTCATAACCTTGGTAACATAAGTAAGAGAAATAAGCCTCTCGCACAATAACAAATGAATTTTCCAAAAGAGCTTTGGTGGCATTAGAAAGCCAAGCCACATCAGTGGACCTGAGATTACTTTTGATATGTATAAGAAGACTTGCTGTAGACTGGGAAAGGGGAAAAAGAACAGGTTGCGGTAGCTCAGAATTGGTTTCAAAATAGACCAATTGCACTAAGACCAATGGGAGGAAAAGTTATCATCTAAATGGGTTAAAATGAAACCTTAACGGGATATTAAAAGAAACTCTTCAATTGTGATTAAATTTAGGGAAATAGGGGATGGAAAATAGGCAAAAGTATATAAAAAATGCTTTCTTTTGTCAAATAGTTTTATTTTTTGAGTCTGCCAAACATTTCGATGACCCCATTTGTACTCAAATCATTGCATTCCAAAAAGTCCATTGCATTTCTTGTGTGTGATATCAGTACAATGAAACTGATGTGCTTGCATCAAGGCTGCTGCCTTTTAACATTTCCAGCGTTTGCCACTAGAGGTTCACCGTATCAGGATAAATTATGAAAGTGTTCAAGTTCATTGAAGCAGGTGTATTCTTGCATGTATCCTCCGCTGAGTGAACTTGTAGGCTTGTATTAATGGTCCTCTCTAGCTGCTCAATCAGGAGCAAGCAAGCTCACAGTTAGCAGACCTCAGCCAAAGCAAAGGAGCAACTCTAGGAAAGGAAATGTCAGCTAGGTTCCAACTCACAATTGTGGTCCAGGAACCCCTATTGGGAAGTGTGTACATTTGGATGTTGGCTGAAGATCAGACTTGGTTGTGATGCCCTCCAATGGTCAAATAGCCTGTTGACTTTCACTGTCAGGACTCGCACATTGTTTGGGTGAGGTATCAAACGACACTCAGTGTGCCTGTGGAACTGTACTCAAGCACAAGTCTGTGCCTTCTGGATAGAGAGGGAGAAAGGTGATGCAAGATAAGGAGCCAGCCTCTGATCTTCTGATCTCGCTTACTGAAGAAAGAATAGGCTTTCATTCAGCCAAGTCTCCTTAGTGGCTCAGAGCTGAGATCAAGAACATATTGTCTAACACACAATGCTGTGTTTGGTTCACTTTGTGCCAGAGAACGATGTAACACTGGTATTCTGCTATGTTTAAAATCTTGAAGGGGTAGTTTTCTATCATATATGCCAAACAAAATCACAGTTTTAAAATCTGAATATAATTAAAAAGAAATTGCTTGTTAAATCCTGCAATTTTCTGAATTTATTCTGCGAATAAATATAATCCTGCTATCAAAATACACAAAAAATAATCAGGAAGGATAAGCTGCTACACGGAATATAACATTTCCGAGTAAACTTGTAATTGTATTGCACTGATGGCATTTAAACAATGTAGGTGAAGTCCATCTGTGTGAACATTTGTCCTTGTTTTTTGTTTCACCCTCCTCCAGGAGGCTCTGATCATGGCCAGCATGGATCACCCACACCTGGTTCGTCTTTTGGGTGTTTGTCTGAGCCCCACGATCCAACTGGTCACTCAGCTGATGCCCCATGGCTGCCTGCTGGACTACGTTCGTGAACACAAGGATAACATCGGGTCCCAGTTGCTTCTGAACTGGTGTGTCCAAATTGCTAAGGTAGGAAACTTTCTAGTAGAACTTTAGATTTGGGTTGGGCGGTGGAGGGGTCAAGAGCTTGAAAGCTCCACTGTGCTGCCATTCCTTGTTCCTGACTTCAAAAACGCTACTTAACATAATATTGATTTGAATACTATAGATTGATTGATATTCATGCTTAATTTATTGCTGCAATGTTCATGGTTAATTTATAGTTTGTGTGGGTACTGGTCCTTGTGAATTTAAAGTTACCATAAATATTACATTTCAGTGCTTCCTTTTTGCAAGGAAACAGAGTGTGTATGTGCAAATTGTTTCCCACACAAAATGCGGCTTGAACCGTAGTAATCAAGTCCATGGCATCTTGTGCTTCTAATTGACATCTTCATGCAGATTGGGAAGAAAAACATTCCACATGGCTTCTAAGAGGTGTCAGCTAAAAGTGGAGGAGTTGGATTTCTGTCAATATATTTTTGGACACATAAAGTGTAATAAATTGCAAGTGTAGCAGTAACAGAGATGGTATGATTGTCACTGTTTACTTTTGTTTTGCATTTTGTGAATGTATCTGATCCTGCAAATTTCAGTTAGTGTCTGTACAGGGTGCAAATCAATAACGCGCAGAACAGCGCTTATTCTTTCCATTGCCGTCCTTTCCTGAAAGTGCTAACTTTTGGCAGGGCATGATCCCAAAGTGCCCATGTGGGCATTCTTCATGCATGAGCATGGATAGTGAATGTCAGTTCCACCTCAGAGGATATGACTGTCCTGACTTTTCTACACATGTTCTATACATGTTCTATCCTGACTTTTCTACACACTTGCGTACCGCATTCACTCAGTTAGGAACACAAATCCAGCTTAATTTTTTTTTCTTTGCCCCTACACCAGCCCAGAAATGCTAAGGCAACTTGTAAAATCCAAAATACTGGCTCAACTGAGAACTCTGCACAGACCAGGAATCAAATCCACAGTCTCTGCTCTATACGAATATGAAAGTCATATTCATATGGGTCATTAATGAATTAATTAATGAATATGGGTCATTAATGGATGGCCAAAATATTTTATTTTTGATGTGTATAAATATTACAGTACCTGAAATCTCAAAAAACATCACCATTATGAACATTGACACAAGTGGGTATTGCGTTTAGATCAGGGTGGTCCTGATCTCAGCATCCAGGATTGAAGCTAATAACATGAATGTGTTTAAGGCCAAACTTGATGCATACTTTGAGTCCATCCATGTTGAGACATTGACCTCTTGCTCTTGTCCACCCCATTGATCTGCCCACTCTTTTTATAAACTATATATAGCTTTAATCTTTTAAGATTAAATGCTCAGAGTCCAAGAATAATTGACAATTCCACTCTTCATAAAATGAAATTCCTGCTTGTTTAGCAACAAATTTAACTTTACACTATTACACGTGGAGTCCTGTAGCTCAGTGGTTAGAGCACTCGCTTTGCAGGTGAGAGACCTGAGTTCAATTCCAGGCAGGGCGAAGCCTTGGGCAGGTTTCCTTGCTCCACGCGCCTAATAATAATCCCTCCAAAAACAATAATAAATTGGTCATTTTCAATCTACGACTGTTTGTGGGACATTGCTGTGCGCAATTGGCTGCCGCGTTCGCCCACAAATATACAGTCAATTCACTTTACAGTGTGTTCTGTGAAGCGCTTTGGGACGTCCTCCCGACGTGAAAAGTGCTATATCAAATGCAAGGATTATTATTATATGTAAGGGAGAAGCGAATGGAGAGGTATAAGAGGGAGGAATTTGAGTGTGTGTTTGTGTGTAGGAGGATTGGGGGGGTTTTGGAGAAGGCGGTTTGTGTGAAATCTAAATAAATATATACACCAGCACAGACTAGTTGGGTTGAATGGCCAAGTTGTATTACTCTATAAGAAACTGAGTAAGAGTGTAAAATCTGTCACACAAGTTGAGCAGGGGATGAATCAAATGTAAAATCCTATGTGGAAATAGCAATGTGGTCAGTAATATATGTATTTGGACAGTGGTTCTCTTAAATGTTTGCCTCATTAAAGTACTATACATATGACCACTCTGCACCTTATTGTGCATTAAACTGACCCATGTTGCAATTTTGTGTGAATGTGCTGACATTGGTTTGTTTGCTATTTTAAAACTACTAAGGGACTGACAAGACATTGTAGGTATAAAAACATGTTGTTGCTGCTCTTCCTGATATTCTGACATAAGAGCCGATCCCAGGAAATAGATTTGACGCAGCCACATAGCCACCCAGGAAAGGGCCAGCTGCTTTCAGTGACTGCTTTGTTCTCCTGGAAGATCACTCAAAAGATTGCTCTCCTTTTTGATTTCACACTGAGGAATAGCCTGCCAAAGCTTTGCTCATTCATTCAAGACTTATCAGAGAGTCCATTCTGCCTAGTGGTAGGTGGTTGGTTCAATGTGGGTCATTCATGCTGCACTTCTCCAGGGGTAGATTGGTGCAATAGTCTATAGAGGACAACCAATCCTGTGCTGTCCTGGGACACTGAGTGTTGTCCTTGATTGATAGGAGATGTGAGAATATGTTGTTTGAAGTCCTTTTTCTGGCTACAGTCAAAGGGTTCAAGGTCTTTCTTTCCCTAGCAGCTCCTGTCTGCTACAAAACAGTGCACTTCATCATAGACTTACTGGACAGAGGATTTGTTTAATGACAGCAATTTATCAGCCGATGTGCTCAAGGCATTGTGATGCTTTCATCAATGACAGAACCGTGTTAAACAATTAGTTCCATGCAAAGCAAGAGATAGGTTCAAGGCACTGCACTAACTCCGATGCTTTCAAGCCAGTGTAGCAACTTACTGCTTTATTCTCTTTCAGTTTCTTCTAAAAAGAATTCCCTTGCTTTGTTCTCACAGATTTGTATTTTCCAGCAGAAATCTTACTTACAAAATAATTATTATTTGTGCTTAATTTTGGATGGCAGCCTGTCTCAGTTGGCAGCACTCTCGCCTCAGAGTCAGAAGGTTGTGCGTTCAAGCCCCACGTTGGGACTTTCAGCTTACACAGGCCAGTCCAATGGTCTAATGTAGTGCTGAGATTGCTCAGCATTGTCGGAGGTACAATCCTTCGGATGAGTTGTTAAATCAAGGACTCTTTGGCTGTACAGGGACGTTACAAATACTATGGCACAATTTGAAAGTGAAGAGAATTTCTCCTGATGTCCTGGCCAACAATTCCTTTTTGCCTGTGGATTGTAAACCAAATCAATAACTTCTCTTACCATACTTCTGCTTTGGCTAAGTGCCAATGGCAAGCTCTTTCAAAGTTATTGCAACATTCTACATGATAATCCCTTCATGCCCAGCACCTCTTTACCTCTCTGATCTTTCTATATCAGCTCCTCTACTTACCTTCTCCACAAGAAGGGTGTTACATAAATGCAAGTCGTTGGATAAGAAAGAGCAAATACACTCTCTCATGGCAGCCTGCAGTGCAGCAGTGAATGAGTGACATTCCAGTTTGCCTCATGGGTTTCATCATTTCTCAGCTGAATTGTTGATTGATAACATCGAGACAGAGAGAGAATCAATCTGGTTTGCCCTGATTTTGAGCTCCTCCTGCTGGTGATTTGCACAGTAGCAGGGCAGCACCCATTGGGATTGCCAGGGAACTTTGATCGGAGAGGAGTTTAAAGTGGCCTTAGGAGTTATAGAACACCAAAAGTGGGAGTGAACTGAGAGAGAGAGAGAGAGAGAGAGAAGAGAGAGATTGATCAAAAAATATTACTGTTCGAATGTTGAGTAAGAAGACCAAACTCAACTAAGGTTGGTCTGCTTGCCTGAAACATTGCCAGGCTGGTGGTCTCTACCAGCTGTTAGTGTTTGCAGAATCAAACATGGCAATCGAGAAAACAGTGGCATCTGTGGAAAATGTAGGAGTCAATTACATGTTATGCATACACAATTATCACCTCTGCGTACTCTGGAGAAATAAATTTGAGTGTCACCTTTTTGAAACTAAGTTTGGCTTTATTGAAAGTTTTCATGTTTTCTCCGGTCTTTGAACCATGCAAAGTATGTATGGAGCTACACATTACATGCCACATGCAGTGGCACCAATTGTACGTTTTATGGAAGTTAGGGCACGGTTTGTTGCTCATAAGGTGATTGTGATGAGGGCTAGACATGGATTTGTTTTCGTCAGACATTGTATCTTATAATTGTTGCATTTGATATAGTGTCTTTAGACATCAGTGGGATGTCTGAATGTAGTAACTGTTTTTGTGGATGAAAACAACAGCCATTTTTTGCACAGGAGTGTCCCACAAACTGCCATGAAGTGAATAACCAATTTTCATTTGGTGTTTTTTTGGCCAGGACAACGGAAGAAACTCCTTTCTGTTTTGAAGTTGTAAGATTGAATCTTTAATATCCACCTGAACAGTTAGGCGGGACCTTGGTTTAAAGTCTCATCCAAAGGATGGCTCCTCCAACAATGCAGCACACCCCTAAATTTAGCTCTTGTCCATTCAATTCTTATGCACAAAGTTGTTGTAATTAACGGTCTGCTTGTGTGAGATGGTAGTGAGAATATATTATAAATATGTACGCTCAAGCACAAATTTTATTTGGAATAACATTGTAAGTTTTGCCCACAAAATGCATGATAAGGCACTACATCAAATGCAAATATTATTATTACTTTAGGACACTACTCACCCACAGTTAGGATTTCTAGCAGTTCTTCAGAAGATCTGCAGAAGAAACATTATCTAAATTTGACTGCATTAGGAAGTTTCCAATATTGTGCAGAATTGGGAATATTAAGGCAATGTTCTCAGTGCTAAGTCCAGGTGGAATTCTAGGTCATACATCACATCCCACCAGCCACCCGGTCTTATGAATTGCATAGAATGATACAGAGCAGGCCATTCGGCTCAACTTGTCTATGCTGGTGTTTATACAGGAGCCTCCATCGCCCCTATTCCACTCTACTATTCGACCAAAATATATACGATCAATTCACTTTACAGTATAATCTG